AGAACTGGAAGTAAGCAAGAACAACTGACTGCCTGCGATGGTTACTAGTGGCATGTAACTGGGACAACCAAGGTCTAAGGACGTCCTTTCTGTTCTGTTTAAAGCTTCAATTGGGGGAATCCTGGCAACCATTTGAGGACACGGGTATAAACCAACAAGATGGCAGTTGCCCATGTCAGCAGCATCTAAAGAAAACCTAAACTCCCTGGCTTGTTGGAAAAATCAAACCTCCTGATGATTGATCGTAAACAATCGTTCTTACCAGGATTTGATCTTCATACCACATGTTGGGCGAATGGGACCTTTTGGATACGTGCCTGGTTGGCCTGTGGATACCCAACCCTGCCCAACATCAACCATTATGTGGGCTTTATGTTGTCTTGGAGGAACAGCTTGTCACATGAACCATGCCTATTTCTTCCGAAAACCGCAGGGTGCGTGAATCAGTTTTCGCGACAGGTCACCCAGTTGGAGGCGACCGTCCAACCCTCGACCTTTTGGCTTGGATAAACCTGACAGACGAAGCTTCACGAGAATAACGCTGTGCGAACATATACAAATGTAACCATGTTTATATCTCTATACATGTAGTATGTGTATGTATATATATATATATATTTTATGTGTGTATGTGTATATATATATGTATATATGTTATTGTATATGCATACATATGCATGCATATGCATATTCCTGATGCAAACACAACACCTTGTGGAACACTCCCCCAACATACTCCAACCCGGTTTCCTTCAACCTGAGCTCTTCTTACGTCAACTTCCTACAATGTCTCCAAGCCACGGCCGAAAAGCGCTCCACTTCCAACGGTCTGCCATGAACTCACGGTAGGAACATGTAGGAACTACTCCTAGCATATACTTGAATGAATGGTTGCATCCGGGCGCGCGCTCACAAACATGGTCTGTCGTCTCTGCCACTTTAAGTCACCTCCAACATGCGACAAACATATCAGCTGACCCCACCCCGGTTCTGACCAGCCATGGCTGTGTTGCCTATGCCTCCAAAGGGGATTTCTCTCCCGAAAAGGAGACACGGCTAGCCCCAAACCTACTACAATTCATGATTTCCAGCTGTGCCCCGGCCCCCAAAGATAATGTTAAACAAGCGCGTGTAAAGCAGTCTTTGAACATACATTTCTCTTCTGGCCTTGACAACGCAACCAACTTCAAGGGCCAAAACCCCGGTGATTCTTTCCAACTCAAAGACACTCAGAGACTCGACTCATCTCCCCGTCGCGACGCTTCGCTGACGACTCGACGAGTCCTTGAGGAAGCCCACGGAGCGGCTCCGCTCCTTGGCGCCCCGCACGAGGCTCACCATCACGCAGTCCTCGCGAAGGCCAAGGCCCTCCCGACGGCCGTTGACGCCGGGGTTCGCCCTTGTCTCCGGTCTGCCGGGCTGATTGAAATCATTCCTAAAACAGGTTGTGGCAAGCCCTTGCGGTGACGGCGCAAATCTCGATGCTCAGTTAGCTGGTTCGTTTCGACGAGAGTTCGGCCGGTTTGCTGGTTCTATTGTGCCAGAATGCTGTTTGCTTGCTAGCCCTCGTGGACCTGAACAAAGCAGCTCAGCGCGTCCCATGTCTGAGAACTTGGGCAGCAGTTCACATCGTGGGAGCGTCAAAACAAAATAGCAAAGGTGTCTTGTCAACTGCTTTTGACAACAATGGTTTGCCTGCACACATCTTCCTCTTTGGATTTCTTTTTTCAGGCAGCCTACTGTCTCACCAAGGTCCAGAATGAGCTAACTCAACGCAACAGTTAAAAACAAGCTCCTGGGCACATGACTTGGCTTCAATGAGCCATAGCATGTCATAGCTGCCCAAGAACAAGTGAGAAATCAGGCCGACTGTGAAAAAAAATGTGACGCTCTGTGAGGATATGCTGAACTTGGGGCTCTTAAATTCAGCCATTCACAATCCAGGCTAAGGGTTCCCTGCGTCTGGGCAAGATAGATCCGCCAACGGACTCTTGCCAGTTTTGGGGGCCTCCTTTCTTGAGGTGTACGCAAGCACGGTGGGGGTAGCCTGCTCGGAACAAAACCCTTTGATGATTCTTTAACGGTGTAGGCCCGAGATCCGCAGCTTTTGGGCATGATAACACTGAAAACAAAGCATAGTAGCTTGTCCAACACTTGAAGACAAGACACCCTTTCCGTGATACCGATATGAGATTCATATTCCTTGACTACTTCATCACTGTAAATCAGATTATCTGGTTGACGCAGCAGGGAGGAAGTTCCAAAAGCATCGCAGTCTCAGCGTCTGGATGCATTTCAAACGCTCTGCCCTAATTGTGTCCTTCTCTCTGCCTTGGAAGCCGTCCACGGTATTCACCTCCGCTGGGTGCTTGAAGAGCTTTTCCGTGCAGAAACGCCAAAGCTTCAAGGTAAATACAAAGGCGTGTTTTCCAAAACTAAAGCGTATGACTTCCTGGCTGGTGAAGGGAACAATAACGGAGGAAGCACTCATTTGAGCACTGCCAAACCGTGACTGAACAAGAGCTTCTCCTTCAAACATCGCGCAGTCTAATGTGATGTCCTTTTCGAAGCTCCTTACGAGCTCTTCTCCAGCCCTTCTGGTCGTTTCCTGTGAGGGGTTGATGACCACCTTGCCGGCTCCAAAGGGTATTTCGCCCCCAATGCACATGAACCTGGTCAGGGAAGAACAGCGACTGGGTGCGGGACGTCTATGGGACAAACGCCATTCACGTTGTACCTGGACGCTCACCCATAAGGGGCACTCAAAGGCTCGGGTCACAGTCCTATACAGCCAAGGCCTTGCTTCCTTTCAGTTTTTGCAAGTGTGGCCATCACACTCCGCACCGAAGAAACATTCCTCTGAGACAAGACTCCCAAGGGCCCCGTCTCCAAGCAGGATTTCGTGTCCCTGGCCTTGGCGAATCATGAAGTCTGTGCCTTCCAAACAACTCGAACCGGGGTAAACATACATGTCACATATCATAGGCAGCTGAACACGCCATTCCATTGCTGAAGTGGCAATTGCTGTTGTTCTCTGCACGCCAGAAGAGCGCAAACCTTCTGTTTGAAATGGCAAGGAATGATAGCAGTTGCTATATCTCACCCGTGCATAAGTCGCATACTGTGCTTTTGGTGATTTAGCGACGTTGATTCTGCGCTCTGCGCGGAGGGGATGAGCACGTCAAGTTGCAACCCTTGCAAACAAAAGCCTGTGTCATGTCCTGTTCAAAACCGTCTGAGGCCAGGTTCCAGAATGGACAAGTGACACTGTCCCGGCGTTGTGAATTCACGATTTTGGTAGGGGCTGGATTCTGTTTTTTCCGGCCAGTTCGATTGGCCCCTTCCGGCCATCGACTGAAACGGCGCGTCATCTCTAGTGATTGCCAGCTGCCAATCCTAGTTGCAGGCTCACCACCGTCGTTCCAGGCTAAGGCCCTCTAAACAGTGTAAGTGCCACATGTCAGAGGTCGGTCTACCAACTCGATCCTTGCTTGATTTCCGCAACACCTACTGAGAAGGCCGAAAAATCTAAAGCGCATTGCAGGATGAAGAGCGGATCAATCTTAGAAGCCCAGCAACTGAGAGAATCGACAACATGCCTGCGGCGACAAGGCCCCGTTGTCTCACTCCGTATTCACCTGAGTAAGAGCAACGAAGCAACAACAACTAGCCCACAAGGCACCGGCCAAAAGCCGTCGGACCATACTAAGCACGTCGGCTGGTTGTCCGCACTGCACCGCGCGCATTAGTTTTACCACACAACAGTGCATTTCGCCTAGGCAAAAACCAACTTTGTTGATTGAATCTGTGCAGGCATTGTGGCGAACAGAATCACTTCCCGCCCTTCAACCCCTCCCCCCACACCATACCTCCAACGTGCCAAAGTCAGCGAAAACAGATCCCAGCTCCGAAACAACTCATATGACACAATAACTTAGATTGCACACCTACAGGTGCAAATTCCCACCTACATTGGGCAAACCATCGAGACATTCTTCCCGAGGGCGCCCTGTCGCATTGGGCCCGCAACCTTCTTGCTTGAAGTTATTTTCCCTGTTAGGTTTGCTTGGGTTAGTCCAAAATCGCAAGCATAGCTAGGACAAACCGGGTCCCCAAGTCCAAAGACCCAGGTCACAGATCCATGAACTTCCGGCGGATCAGGTGCACCTGAGCCCCGCTTCCGTCAACGGGTGATTTTTTTGTCAGAAAAGGGCCAATGGAACGAATATGCAAGAACCAACGGAAACAACGAACACAGCCTTGCAAACAACTCAAGCAAACATGAGGCTACTTGCAAGACGGTGACACATCAAAACATCGAAAGCATGCTGTGAGCAAACTTGGGGCACCATCATGTTGCGTCCTTCTTTCCATCAACAGCAGGCAAAACGTCACACAAACCCAAACATAGTAGAGCAAGAAGAGTGAAGAGCAACCTTTTCTGCAGTGTGCCGACAAAGAGTCCGAACAATACTCTAGCTTAGTTTAATGAAACCAACAGCAGGATTGGGTCAAGATTGGGCCACCTTCCTCAACAACACCTCCAGTTGGGGGGAATCCATAGGCCACCCTTTTCCTGGTTGGACACGCTGCAACCACTGCGCAAAAGAAACCGAAATCAATACCCCTGCCGGCAGCTTCCAGGCTTTCACTTCACCTTCTCCCGATTTGAGACAAAGGCAATCGCCCAGCAGTTTGCTCTGGAGTAACCAGCTGGTTTGCCTTGACATTGGACTGATGGTTTCCAAATTACTGTCTGGGCCAACCCAACGATGCCGACAGAACTGCCCCGAGGTCAGTTGAGATCAGCCTCCAAGCCACCAGGCCTGGGAAATCAAAAGCAATCCCAGACTCAGGAAGCAGAGCCACACGGCTTGCACTATCTCAAGCTCTTGGTGATACTCTTCACAAATCCAAGCACAAGCACAACGGCACAGGACAGGAGCCATCCCCCCTATGCAGCACTCTGCGCTCCCCGACCTGCTGGGCGTAGGGAGAGATCACCGCGAACTTCTTTTGCCAGTCCTCGCGCATCTTCCAATTGAACCTAACCCCTCGCAGTTTGCACAGGCGTTCCACAAAAAGCTGACAAATTACTGAAAGATTGAATGTTTAATTCAGGCAAGCTGGTGCCTTGAATCGACCCTTCTTCTTCCGCTTCGCGTGTTTTTGGTTTCGGTGCTCCAACAGACACAAGAAAAGACGAGGCCCTGACTCCGGCCGAGGTGTGGTTCATGCCCATGTTGCTGAGTTTGCCATTGCAAATATCGGCAATCATTGCTTTCTGTGCTTCACTGCCACACATTAGTTTTGGCAGAAGGCAGCACTAATGTCGGCTTTGACATACTCGAAAAGGGGTGCTGCAATTTATAATTCAGTGGTAGTCCTGTGTTCAGGGGTCTTTGTGCTTCAGTTCGTTGGTTTGCTCCATACATCACCTGAAAGAATCCAATGGCATGGGTTTTGGCCTTCGAGCATCACAACGCATCGGCCAAAAAGAAACTTCGGACGGAGCCCTGCCACTCGGCCAGTTGTGAGGACTTGCGATTAGTCCGCTCCTGATCGCTTGACATTGGTCGCGCCTCCTAGTTGGCTCGTGGTGTTTATATGAACCAGCAACCATGGAGTGGTCCCAGTTCCCCATGCAATAAGGCTGTGACCACGGCGCAAATAGCTCTGCTTCTCTGTTGTCTAAAGCGGCATATACAAACAAGCAAGCGACAACGAACAATATGTGTGCTTAAAGGGAAGCAGGAAACACAAAAGATGACTTGGGGAAGAAAAAAAAACACGTCTGCTCGCATTTTGGATGCCGCTTAATAGAAATGGGGATCTGTGCCCCGCCAATCGCCCGATGGGGGGTTCAACAGGCATGGAAACCAATGCGGACAATCATAACATGAGCGGCTCCAGGTGCTACGTAAGCGTGAGCCTAAGAATCTGCCTGTATCATTGGCGTCCTTCAGAAATCAGCTAGATTGAGCTGTTTTGGTTTGCCCCCAAATATCAGGTTCGTGTCAGACGTTCTATTCTTGCCCCTGACGCCGTATCCTCTCCAACAAGGATGACCTATTGGGGGATTCAGTCCTGCATCATGGCTGCATAGGTCCTTGCAACATGTTTTCTAGTTTGCTGACTTGGGTACCTGGGGTACCTGGCAACCCCAACGGAGTGCGCTCCTGGCCGCGGTACAGCCGCGTCAGACACCTGTAGAAGTTAATGATGAAGTCGGCCTCGCCGGCGAGAAACGGCGTCGCAGCGTCATCCACAGGATCCCAAGCCCCGCAAAACCAGCGTCCTTTCAGAAACACGTACTCAGAATCAGATCCCGTGCTTGAGGGAGGTCCCGCGGAAGACCACGTTCCTGTGAAAGGGATCCTTTTGTGCTCCTGTTTTAGCAGGGGAGGATAAAGAAAGTCCGCTCGTCAAGAAACTCGTTGAACCCTTCATGGGGCCCGGGATCGCGCATGCCCCACAAGTGGCTATGGAGAAGAGTTTGAGACACACGTCTTTCTTCGTGTGTGTGTGTGTAGAAATAGATCAACACCCCCTTTTTTGCGGGCAAACAGAACAGACAAACAACAAAAACACAACCTCTCCCGGAAACAAAAGAAACCCGAAGGGAACACGCCCAACAAAATGATCATCCTGAGCTTCGCACACTCCTTATCGTGAGGCAGCTCCCCTGCAAAAAGTTTAACTTTTTGGTTTAGTGGAACCCCCATTTGTTGGCAAACAATTTAAGTCCTAACATCCAAGCAACATGCACCAAAGAAAAGGCAGCGCAGGCCTCCTCCACGTTGACGAAGGACTTTGCCTCCACTTCCATGGTGCCTCATCTCACTTCGCTCGCACTCGCCTTGCAACGCCGAACGAACGACTCACGCCTGGCACTCATGCTTCGAAGGCAAACTTGGTGGGTCAACGACGAAACATGGCGCTATGAGAAACAGCTGCTTGTAAAGCAGCCCCTTTGCAAGTTAGGAGTTAGGTTTCTGTTTTACAAACAGAGGCCATGTAATCCGATTCCTTCAGCGTAATGGGAATCTCCATAAAGTCTGTTGGAAAAGTCTGCTGGATCATCTTTAGCGGTACATCCGCCGAAAAAAAGCAAGAAAAAGGTGAAGGGCGGAATCCACGGACGACCTTTGGCCTCGTTCTCTCCGCTTCCAACGCCCTCGCCGGCGTTGCCGCCCTTGCTCGCTCACCGCTCGCTCGCTGAGAGCCAGGCCCTTGAGGTTGAAGAAGGCCACTGGGCCCAGCGCCGGGATCTTGGACCAGGCCGTGGGGAACTGCTTCTCGTAGGCCTGCGAGCCGCGTGGCCCGGCGACGCGGCCTTCCCGGCCCGTGCCAACGGAAAAACCGGTGCTTTGACCCAGCAAAATGCCTCAACCGAGGTGGGAAACATTGAAAGACACGACGCAGAGCCCCAACCCTCCAATCCAAACCCAGAATAAACCGCACAAATGCCCAAAACACCAATTGACCCTGCAGGGTGGCGAGCTAAACGGAGCGATGTCCAGGCATGCACCCTGGGTCAAAATGCAAAACTTTGAAACTGGTTTCGGTGAAACAATCAGGCATTGAACCACTGATCGTTTCAAGAAATCCGGTGTGACAAAACCCACTGATGGTTGAAGCCAGCTCTGCCAGACTGTACAGGCAAACTGGTGCGAGAAGCTGGCTGGGAAAGGCCTGTGGAACTGAGCCGCTCATGCCATGGAGCTGCGCAGAGCTCCCACTGAGTCAAGCTTCTGCAAGCTGACGAGTCGTAACAGGCAAGACTTTCCGGAGGACCACCCATTCTGGCAATGAAGCCGACGCTGACATCCGTGGACTTCCGGAAGGGACACAATTGATGGAAGCGCCAAGCTCTGCTTCACATTGTGAGCTATCCGCGCTAAGGCCTCATGGACGTCAGTTGCCAACATGTTGCAATTCCTTCTCAGAAAATCAGACACGGCAGTGGGCTGTTCCTCCCGCTGGGGGAGATGTGTTCCTCCGGTCGGCATGCTTTACTTGGACTCGCCCCTGTCGCATGGGGCTTGCAAATTTGGCCAGTCTCAACCGCCAAATGTGTGGACGGTGTCGGCTTTGTTCTTGTCATCGCTGGCTTGCAGCAAGACTCGCGCAGTTTCCGTCCGACCGCTTTGGGCGGCAACATGCAGGGCTGTCCGTTTGCTCCGGTGAGCCTTGCACAACTTCCAGGTGGCCTTTGTCAGCGGCCGCCTGGGGTGTTGCCCCAACACCTGACTTAACGGGCTCTATCAGCTCCACGCGGCGTGAATATGATTTCCTCATCTGTCGGGGTCCACTGCCTCAGCTGGCTCCAAGGGGCATTTCCAGCAGGCCCACAACTCCTGCAATGTCCCCATTGGCTACTGCCTGCCACCAGCGCATTGGGGCCATCTCCATCCGTATCTGCCAAGTAGGGCCGAATCACAACCACCACCTCAGCATCGACCCAATGGCTGTCTGAAAGTGTCTCGTCACCACAGACCAGCGCTAGCTGCCTGAAATTCTTCAACCGCAGCTTTGTGGCCAAATGAAGCCTAAGCACGTCAATGAACACACCACCCTGCAGGTGCTCACTCCACCATGCCGCGAACTCATCCTCAACCCATGGGCGCGAGCTATGCCCAAGCTGACGATGCACTTCAGACGAAGCCAACATTTGGGGATGGGTCAAAATTAAACCACCAGGGCAGGCTTTAGTCCATGCTTCCATTTGCCAGGATTCCATTTGGGGTACCTATCTTTGACCCACACCCATTTATTTCAGAATACGGTAAGTGCTGGTTGCAAGCGAACTAGTAGGCGACGATAGGAACGAATAAAAAACTAAGGGTGATTGCTGCTCTGAACTAAGTATGCAGCAACCAAGTCGTTCGGCTGGTCCCTCGTTCATGGCACCCCTAAGTCTTTTCAGAAGCAAAAGATGACACTTGGGTGTTGGGATCTATTTCCATGGTTCTCAGAAAAGAATGGTCATAGTGGCAGGCTACAAAACAGAGTGACAAGTGTGAGACTCATGCACCTCGGAAACTTGACATGGAACCCCAACCGCTCCCACAAGGCAAAAGAAACGGTCCAGTTGTGTACCGTCGCGGGCGAGGCTTTGCACTTGCACCCCAAAACCTGCCTCTGCATCTAGGAAGTCCAGCAAGTTGCCTTGGCAGCCAACGGATCGGACACGGGCTGCCCGTGCTTCCCACCGAATTGTCATAAGGTTGGAAAGCACCTGGCTCCTTGGAGGACTGTAATAAGTCGAATGCCTCCCAACAGTATCCCTAAATCCGTCAGGTTGCCAAATGAAGCATGGCTCATGTCAATGACAATGAAATGGTCAAATGTATGGCATCAAGGACTCAAGGATTTAAACGCCAAGCTCTCCTGGAAAAAGAGTATCATGGGCGGTTTGTTGCAGTCCACTAGAGCATTTGATCAGGGCCGGCAAGTGAACAATCACGACCACTGCTTAGTAGGAGTGAGGTATAATTCTGAGCTGAACACAACCAGTTCTCATGTAGAACCTCAGGCTCTGGAGACATGTGGGCTTTACCTAGAATCCTGGCTATTTGCCCTTGGATTTTGTGTGCAAACGGTGTGTCACTCATGCATCCCCACACCTTCAAAGTCATGCCTTTGTGATGGCTCAAGCAAATGGACGGATGAACCACCGTTCTGACTTTGCTTCCTCCCAAGACACCGTGAAATCATGGACTCAATTCCATAGGACACACACACACACACGGCGGCCCTTTTTGGACAATGTAGAGTTTCATGTCAATTAGTCAGCTTCCCTTCAGAGGAAACGAACAGAGCTCCAAGATACCCATGACTTCATCTGCCAAAGGGGTGGTGGTGTGCGCTTGACCCCCCGGCCGTTGTAGAAGTTCGCAGAGGGGAAGGCGCTGATGGCCGGGTGCATGCGGTACTGGGTGTTCAGCATGTTCACCTGGCTGTGGGTCAAAACCAATGGTACCCATTTTAGTCTATTTTAGTGGGGATTGGGATGTTCACTGCGGGTACGGGAGTTTGACCCATGGCCACCTGGCCCCATGATTGGCATAAAAGGTCAAGGGACTCCGCGGTGACTTTAGGCCAAGGCCCCTCATGCAGAAACGGCTGCTTGCAGAACGTTAGGCCTCCTCTCAAAGACTTGCAAGTCCCTTAATCCTCCCATAACAAAGCCAGGACTGTTCGTGGGCAAGCAAACAAGAGTTTCGCTCGGTTTCGGATAAACCAAATGTGCAATATAACGTTATATGAGTATACATATATATATATATATATATATATATTTGCACACACGATTACAAGTCAGATCAAATCAGCTGTAATCCAGATCTGCCAAAAAATGCTTTGAATATTAAACAAATATTATTTCTAGTGAGGATTGCTACGCAACACATGCATCCTTCAAGTTACGCCCAGAGATGCAAGCCAGGCCTTGTACTGCGTCTGCTGGAGCCGCTGGAAGAGACTCCGGTCGTAGTTGTGAAGCTGCCGTGTGCAAGGCGCAAGCCGGTTCGCGTACGGATGCGTAGCAAAACGAAAACATGTCAAGATGATGCCAAGCCAGAAAAGTGCGATGGCTTTTATTGGAAAATTCCTCCTTCTTCTCCTTCTTCCTTCTTTGCCTTTCGAGCTGTTTAAGTGTTGAAGAGCCTACTTCGATTTCAAAGACCTCAGAGTACATGTTCATTTGATTGCTGCTTCATGCACTCCTTGCTGACTTGTTTCTATCTCAGTGCCACAAACGTTCCAGCCAGTTACATGTTTGTGCGAGCACTCATGGAAGTAGTACGTGTTTGAAAGGGGAGCGGCAAAAGCTGGCTGGCGCCCCTTCCAGCCCTCAGCCCTTCGGCCGCCGCCCTGCCTTCGCGATCCTCAGAGGCGTGTGGGCGTGATTCACAAACTTGGAAACATCTTGGAACGGAAAAACGGCAGTGGGTTTTCCTGAGATTTAGAAAGGGATCTGCATTGGGACAATTTGGTTTAGAGTCAACACGAGTCACACTTGATCAATTGAACACGAGAGACTTCCAGCTGAGCAAGAACCTTCCACCGTACAGCCTTGACTTGACAAGTTGTGGGATGTTCGGCTCCCAAATGATGCGCTACCTGACTTCTCAGCCATGTGGGTTGAACAGGCTCGGGACCGATCCCAAGGGTCGGTGGCTCCTTTTAGTGCCCTGTTCAAGCCTCTCCAAAGGTTTCTGTGGGTTTTAGCCTTGACAGCTTTCCACATGACGTCCCAGCACATTTGCCCATCGATTCTGTGCATTACAGGCTTTTCATTGAGAGAACTACGTTCAAAGTCTCCCAAAAGGCCGTCCCTTTGACCCTTTGAACAACACCCGCATCACCATTCGCTTGTCCAAGACTCGGCTTCGGCCGTTCCCAGCCCCTTGCAGCATCTCTAGGTGCCACCTTGAAATGGGTTGGAACCTCGGAGACCGAAGTGGGTCGCCTCTTCTTAAGACATACCACGGATCTCCTGCGTAGATTCCTGTGAGTAAGGACACCAAATCACACCCTGTGGGAAACGGAGCTTGGAGGGCGAGGATTTGGAGGGACTGCCTGATCTGCCCGAGCCCCACTTTGGATCCAGATGCAATCAGAGGGATTTCCCAAACGCTTTGAGGAATTTTGTTGCACGTCTGCAATTCTTGAGACATTGATTTCAGCATGTCTGTGGCGTCTGTGAAAGATGTGATGGAGATGCTTCAAACAGCTCCTTGTCAACTTGGCAAACTGCGTTTCCAAGTATGTTTGGTGGTTGATTTCTCGACAAAGGGAAACCGCAGCCCTCTGGTCGACCGATGGAGTTCTGCCCGGTGGCTTATCTTGAACCCCAGACCCCCGGTCCAAGTTGGACGAGGCGCTCCGAGAAACAGGTGGCCGGCAGCTGTTCGGGGTCGCCCACCAGGATCAAGCGCCTGCCGAACCAAATGCTCATTGACCAAACACTTGCTGACACAAGCCGGGCCTATCTTGGGCTTGATGTTATTTGGCTATTCTCAGCTTGTGGTGTCGCCTCGCAACATGACACAAAACATAAACTAGGCCGTGCTCAAAATGTCTTGAACGTGCTGGTCATCAGGCCGCATTCAAGAATCCTTACGATGGTTGCAACTTGCACTCCCATTGAAGGGTTGATGAGCATGAAACATGTTGTTTGCGTTCCGACGGTTTCTAAAAGCAATTGGCTTCCTTTGAACGGTCGTCCGGTTCCTTTCTTTTGGGACTACCACTCCATCACTAGCAAAGTCATCCCGAGTATGTTGAACGTGAACAGAAGTTCCTAACTTAACCACCCCCCACAGCAACGCACCTTCCGCACTGGACCCAGTGGTCTGATGGCTTTCCCGCCTGCAGCCCAACTTCAGTGGCACCAGCGTGGAAAGCTCCACCCCCTGCGAGGCCTGCTGAGAGCTGGGCGAGAGGCCAATGGGCCAATGGTATCGTGCGTGTCAAAATACGGGGTAGCACGAAAATGCCTGTGTTCCACCCTAAGAAAGGTACTCTTCAAGATCACACACGCACACACACACACAAACAGTTTTGCTGAACACGGATCCAATAAATAATCATCAAGACGAGTCCCTTATGCTGAAGTCGAAACCTCCGAAGTCTCTCGCAAAGATCTTCCCAAACGAATGAAGTCCAGGCACGCTAGACTGAGAAAAAAATCCGACGAAAGGCCTTTGGCATGAGCCAGCCCCTTGACACGGGCCAGTGAATGTCTGGCTGAGAAACGCGCCATGGCTCAACTAGGGGGTGTTCTATCATGGGAAGCCTCCCAGTTGTGTGATTTTGGATTGGGGTTTTAATCTTCACCAAAGGAACACTTCAGGATATGGCCAAGTGGGTGTGCGCAATCGGTTTTTGACTTTTGCATATTGCCAATACTTCTCATGGCAATCGCAGTAGCTGTTCCACAACTTTGCTCTCGAAGTTCCTGGGTCCACCGTGGATGGAGCAACCCCATCAAATATTGTTTCATACTGGGCTATTCACTTTGGTCATACAGATTGAACTTCATACTAGTGGACCATTCACCCTGTTTTGCCCATGCAGATTGAAAGAAGGGGAACCCCGTTGGAACCAACGAAGCACTCCAACACCTGCCCGTCATGCCGCATGCCCAGGCCTCGTCGATGACCACGGAGTCGAAGTCCTCGGAGAAGCCGACCTCGGGGACGAGCGGCCTTTGGACATTCGTCGATGGATACCCTGCGCGTTGCTCCGATTGCAGTTCTCATGCAATGTATATATATATATTAATAGATATATACATATAGACATATATATATATTAATATATATATATATATATTTACTACTACTTATACATACGAGTACATATACATAAGTACATGTCTGTATGCATTTGGTGCAGAACATGGATGCATGCATGTGTTGCATCAACATGCGACGTTGTACAAGAAGACCTGTAGTTAACCTTCAATTGCCTGGTTTGGGTCGTTTCATTTTGCTTTTTCTCTCGATCACGTGTTTCTAGAAACACACTTTCAACCCATTGCAACGTGTTCACTTGCTAAACTGAAAGTAACCGGGCTTTTGCAAATACGCAATCGTGATGAACATTGCCGTACGTCAACCAACAGCTTCTCCGCAAGCCGGACCCCCGGTCGTCGCATTGATGGGGATTTGATATGATCCACATGGCCAGAACAAAAAGCCTGTTGTGTGGTTTCACAAAAGCCAAAGGAAAGCACATTGCTTGAAACTGCCTTGATTTTGACACACATGAATACCCCCGTGTCAAAACACGATGAACCCTTCCAAACTCTTCATTTTATGTTGGCTTCCTTTCGAACTCGGACGTCAAGCCCAACAGTTCCCTGGGACACATCTGGATGCTGCGACTTGTTGTTAGGGACAAAGCTGGCTCCCAACAAACCCCTGTACCAGGGCTCCAATTACGTCGTGCGGCAGATCCTGCGAGTTTCTTGTTCCGAGACTCCACAATTCACGGGTACCGGATGAGCAGGGAAAACCAGCAACTCAGTCTCAGCAAAGTTTTGCGAGAAAAGAGATCAACGTTGCAAGTGAATGCTTTTGTGGCTATGGATAAATGTGGTATAAGTCCTATACGAACGAGCACGTTCTTCCAAGCTTTCATCGATGCCTGAGGCGGTTTCAAAAAGGAATTCCGGCCCTATGGCCAGGATTCCCCTGCAAGTCAGAACCTTCACAAACTAAGCATGACTAACAGGAGCCAGAACAAACATAGCAATCCTTTTGGGTTGATCGGAAGGTGGCAATTAACCCAACCCAAACTGCTCACTGAAGGGAGCATTCACTTTTACCCAGTCTTTTACTTAAGGAAGAGTGGCCTCCCCTTATCTAGAGGGACTCCATAGTAGGCAACATATTATAGGTCAGTCACCCAACTGCTTCATACGAGTTGATAAGCTCTTAGCAAGCGCTGATTAGGGACAACCATTCCAATAACGATGATTTTTGAACTCTGTGCAGAGCAAGCTGACGACATCTCGCGACCGTGATTTGTTCTTTACAGCTTCTCTGAACTCTGACCCTCTATGCGGCTTCACCAGGCGCCATTGCGCCATTGCGCCCCAGTCAAGGCAACAAACGACTGGCATCCACTTTGGCGCGATAAATCCCACATTGACTGTCGTTTCAGGATAGGGGCAATGGCAAAAGCTTCCATCCTATGCAAACAACATGGGCCATGCTTCATGTTGGATGCATCGAGCCAAATTTTCAGCTGTACTTTATTCTGTATTCAACATGTTTCTTCGGGGCAAATGACGGCAAACTCCTCAGCAAGAAAGGCTGGGTGAAACCCATGAGGATGTATAGAAAACCTAGAGCATGCGGGCGCCAAGCAATCCCATTGCTTTGTCCTTCAAACACAAAATACTGGCCAGCCTTGTGCTTAATTCATTCAAGTTAGCCCAAAGAAAGGTATGCAAGCGCCATGACTTTCAATATGGCCCTGTTGGCAAACCCAAACCAAGGCTGGCCCATCCACTGGTTGAAACGTTCTGAAGCCGCTCCATCTTCAAGACTAACACCATTAGATCGCCTGTTTCACATATTTTGCCGCAAGCTACGCAGCTTGACTCCATTTTGGCAAACCCAACACCAGTGAACAGTCGCGCCCACCCACTCCGCTTGGCGCATTGGCGCATGCTTCGGCCGAGGTGCCATCTCGCGGTTCCCCGAGATGCTGAGCGTGCTGAAGAGCAGCCTGTCGGATGTGAGAGCCACAGGCTTCTCATCGCAGCTAGATCCCAGCCCCAATCAAATTCCATGTGCCTAAATTGGGACCAAGGGAACCACCCCTTCAAAACGCGATGAAAAAGCCGCAGCCGACCTGGAGAGAGGTAAATGAATCTGAATTGCCCACCTTACGCGGTTGCAGCAACCAAAAGTGGGCAAGACCTCGATTGCAATCAACCGGGCCATGTTTTCGGCACCCCGCAAAACACGGTGGCTACGGCGATGGCTGTTTTCCTGTTCATGTAAAGCCGAAAGCTAGCCTTCCCAGACGAATTATTGAATTCGCCGTTGCAAATCGCCATCTTCTCATGGAATCCGGACGCGTCCGTGTAACAACACAGACGCTTCACAACCACCTTTGTCATGTTTGACATGTTTGAGTATCTTTGAGTTCAACATTTTCTTCACGGTGCCACAAAGTAAACTGCACATGATTGTGATGCCTTCGTCAAACCAGAGCATTGAACCATAGCAACTCTTTGGCTCTATCAGGATGCTTGGATGCTTGAAGAGGCTATTGTTTGCCTTGCAAGCAATGCAACGTAAGCTTTGCCGCCACGGCAACAGGGCTTCAACTGAGTGCAGCTTAGAGGTCATAACAGCAGCCGTTGTTGCTTTCAAATTTGGGAGCCGTGGATTAAGAAGAAAGACGACAACAGGTTTAGGGGGTCCCCTGTGCAACCATGCACCCTCGTGCACCACACGGGTCGGCATAAATTGTGTATGACCAAACCTGGAATTCCTTGTATCTGGGCCATAGCAACCCAAACCCAACATGTCAGATCTCTCTTCCCACGTAATTACAATTGATTCTTGGGCTTCAGCTCATCTCCCCTGACCTCCCACTCATCGAGTTTCCGCGCTTAGCGGACTTCATCAAGCGATCCTTCTCTTGCTCCTGCCAACGCCGACATTTCACGACCAGGACATTGGGGTCTTTCAACGTGTCTGGACCAATCTGCATTGCAATGGGCATCAGCACAGGACGGTTAATTGGGCTGAGAACATTTTGGATCGGGGTAATGTCTATCCTTTGGCGACTCAAAATAAAGATCGCAAAGGCTCATCGCAGTATCCGACTCAAAGTCCGGGACTAGTCGCCAAATGCATGCACTAGCCCCTCCATATCACAGGAGGTGCGCCCCGATGAACAAACATCTATTCCCCCATTTGCTCAAGGAGCTTCCTCCTGGAGCCTGTGCATGTGAATTAAACAAAACAAATTTGCCACCCCTGATGAGTGCGGACGGACAGGGTCAACTTGCAATTCTGACTTTGACCGAAAGCAACAAACCCATTGGCGCTGCTGTGGAGAGTTCATTGCTCCCCTGTCATCTCGCCATGACAGTCGAGCAGCGGATGTGGTTGGGGCTCGATGATCCACATCAGCTACTAAGCACCACCCCAATAGTCGGTGTCAGCGTACCCGTCACACCTTCTCCAAAGCCTTCACACCTGCACACTCTCAACTCCTTCTCCCGTCTCGGCCCAATTTTTTTCAGATCGACACCATATTTCTCCAACTAATCCAAACTTAAAAAAAAAAGACACAGAAAAGATATTTCACATCTCTACCCTCGCAGCTGGCTCCCGCTTGGTGAGGTCCGGCATCTCACCTCGGAGAGGCTGTCTTTCTAGGAAACTGAGAGGCTGAAAGCTGCGAACACCAGACCTACCCAAGCCCTGAACCCTGCCCAAGCAAGCCATGCCAGCGCCAAGCAAGCTCGTTAATATAATGCAACTCCTTGGTCTTAAGCCCTTTAGCAGCCTCCCATGAGGGGTTGCATATGCAATGTGCTTGGTGCTCGCCTCCTTTTCCTTTTGTTAGGACAGTGTTCATCAACAAATGGGAAAGGATTCAACACTCACGACTAGTTAATAAGAACTGTCTTGTTACTGTCCATGGTCGTAAAGCTCATCGCAATGTCCCTGCTGCTTTCCTCTATTCATCTTCTTGCAACATTGTTAGAACAGGCCACATGCGTGAATCAAATAAGCAAGAGCATGAGAACTTGCGGCTCGGCTGGGCATTTGCATTTGCAGCGTCAGCAGCTTGAATTCGGTTCATCTGGCAATCCTGACAACAATTCTCACAATTTTTAACTTTCGCGGGCATGCGTTTTGTAATGATCACTTTCGCGACGCTTTTTCGCGGCAGGCTCTTCTTCAACCGCTTTCGCCGCAAGCTTTCGCGGCTTTTCGCCCTGCCTTTTAGCTTTCGCGAGGCTTCGTTCGGAGAGACCCTCAATTGACTCCTTTCAAAAGGGTTTTGGCGCTGGCCAAGTGGACTTTGCTCCGGGATCAGTCTTCTTATTTGAAGCAAATCCCCACAGTCGGCAACAGCAACAAGCTGCCCAAGAACAGCCCGCAGTGGTGAATTTGTGCGCCGATCAAAAAGGCACAGAAGCGTACAGAAGGAAGCCTTCCACAACATGTGGAGTTCCGCATCCCTTTCTTCGGCCCTTTTCCCTCTTTTCCCTTTGCCGAGGCTCAGCTGGCCTTGAGCCGCTTGTCGACCATCCGCTTGATGCTGTACTCCTATTCTCCCCGAAACGACAGGACACCTGAAACAGTTCGATCAGATTTGACCTAGTCGCCACCATGACTCATTTCACGAAATGGATTCCAACATAAACCCACCCAGCCTGACTCACTGAAAGTCCCTTGAGGTTCCTCCTCACTGAGTGACCCAGGCCCACCTGTAGGCTGCATTCCAGTGGATCCGGTTCTTCGGGGTTGCCAACAAGCTGTGGCCCAAATCAATGTCAACCGATGTCAACTGGATGCGGATGGGTGGAGATGGGGAAATCTGATGACTTGGACACAAGTCGGAAATGCGGTCTCTTGCTTGCCCTACATCGCTCCGAGTGGAAACTCGCAGTTTCCAACCAAGCCTCGCTTGAGCTGAGACTTAGAGGTTCATGGCGCCCTTAGGACTTGGGACGGGCTGTCTTTGGTGGCGGCCCAACACATTGAAGCCGACTTTCCACGTCAAAACAGCAGACAACAAAAAGAAGTTGGCTGGCTTCCTTTGGGCCTCGGACGCGATTGCCATCCGATCCATCCGAGCATAAAGCAAACTCCGCTGGTCACTCCCAGAGTCCCATGAACGATTCGCATGACTATGGTCCCGCCACAAAAAATCAACCCAAAAGCTAACAGGGCCCTCCAAGCAGGGTCATCCAGAGCCCCGTGGTTCCATGATTCCACGCACGTTGGAAGGGTGTGAATCAAAATGCCTCGCAACACAAGCCCTTCAATACTGCGAAGTTGGAACACATTTCAGAGACTTTGGATGTAAGACTTGCATCGAAATCTTCTTCTGTTGGCTCTGTTTGGACCTCATCTCCAAAATCGGTCAAACTGGCTCCCAATTTGAGGAATGCTTCCCTACAGGGGTACCGCGCCTATAAGATCCACAACCGTGTCCATCCGCCCGAGCCCATTCCCACAATTGCAAAACTGCCGGACCTCCACGTCCGGGTGGCAGTTGGGACCCATCCTGCCACTGACAAAGAAGCAGCAAAGGCGGGTTGCTGCGGGTTTCTAGCATGAAAATGGCACATGTTAGGGTTTCCTTGATTGACGCGTCCTTAAATTGTCAACCCATCCAAACAGGAACTCACTCAAGCACGGCGCGCACAGGGATCTTTGCTTTCCAGTCAATTCGGATCACAGAACGCACTTGCTGCTGTGATGATTTCCTCCAAGTTCGCTGACATGGAGAGCACCGCTTGCAAGCTAGCTGACGCTCAGTTCGGGAACTTCTGGCAACCCTCAGGGAATCTCCCATCACAACATGACGTTTCATTCATCAAAGGTAGGGGAGAAGGCTTGACAGACTGACCCGCTCAGCCGGGTTCAGCGTCCTGGGAAGTATCGTCACTAAAGGAGTGTTCCGGAAAAGCAAAGGGGGGGTCTCAACTTCGGGGACGACCACAACAAAAAAAATGTCCAAAGGGCATCCCGTATTGATGCCAGCGTCACAAAAGCCGAAGATTGGGAAAGGACGCCTTGGACGATTGGCGCATTGTGCTGACTCCATGCAGGTCCTCAGCATGAAGGGCCGATCGCGCTCGCCGCGCACGTCCACGATTCCATCCTGCCAGAAATGGGCCCTTGAGCCCCGAGGCACAGGTGAATACGCTGTTGTCAAGGTGGACAACTTTCTTTTCCAGCAACAGAACTATATTTTCCACAGAGAAATGCCTAGGACTACACAAGTTCCAGCGAAAACAGTATCTCCTGTGCGTTCTTTCTATCTTGCCCAGTCAGTTGAATGTTCGCAGCCTTGAAGACGCGAGCAAGAAACGCGCTAAAGCAATATCGGGCTGACCCCTGTCTTCCAAGTTCAATTTCAAATGGCAATGCCCAATGTCAATGTCAAACTCAGCACTTGGTCCTAGCCACCACGAAAGAGATCAGCACATACAATTGACTCACTCGCAACTCAACAGCCTGAACAGCCAAACCAAAGAATAAAACGATTGATCCCGTTGGGCGACTGGCAGAATGTAAACTTTCACAAGGGCTTCGTGATGACAACCACGGTTAGCCATAGGATCTGGGATCAGCCCCAAAGACATGTGGGAGTGGCTCAAAAATAGGGGTCCGAAATGGAACCCTGGTAAATGGCAAGGTAGACTCAAACCGGCGTAACCCCCCAGGCAAATTGTGGCCACACCCGTGTAAGTCCCCCACATGTAAGTCTCTGCAAAATTCTAACTTGATGCTAGACAAGCCACATGCCTTTGCTGAGGAATACGAGTCGATTCGATCTCCGGGTTCCTGAATTTTGCGCGCGATTACTATTGCACATGTTGATGCTTCACAAGTCTGTTAAAACCAGCAACCCTTCATTTTTCATATCCCCTGTGGAAACTGCTCACGAACGGGTCCCAATTCGTTTCGGAGGTGCTTGGGCAAAATATGCCCATGCCATTCTGGACCCCCGGTCCCGGTCGATGCGTCGCAAGACTTCGTCGATGGAGGCATTGGAGGGCCCGCAGACCAAGACCTGCGCACGCCGAAACCGAGTCTGGACTCAAAGAACGTGAACATAGCAAGCAAAGAGCACTTAATTTACCTAAACAAAGACCTGGTTGCCGAGCGAAAGGCAACCACCTGGCCCCTCACCTGGCCCAAGATGACAGTGGATGATGACGGTTGCGCATTGGGAAATGCTGAAGGATTGTGGAATGTTTTGACAAACCAAAACACATGGGCAAACGTGGGGATGCTGAAATGGTTCGCGCATCGGTCATGAAACAGTCTGTTCAATGATTAGGTTTCATGGGAAGCATACGGCCTTTTCAACCATGGAGCATGCAGCAGGATGCAGGTATCACATGACCCACGGCCTTGTGCAAGAGGTTTGCATAGAATGTTCCGACTTTGAGCATGCCAACTTTGGAATCAGAACAACTATGCTAGAATTGAAGGAGTTCCTGCATCCAACCACGCATGGGCACGGACTCAGGTTGAAGTGGTTCCCGGAACATACGCCCCGCCAGTGCCACAGCTTGAATCCAAGGCGGACACAAATCGAGGGCAGTGTACCATAACGCACCCAACACTGACAAGTCCAACAACGGCCGGCCAATGATGTTGATGACGGGATCACTCCAATTCAAAGCCTGTGAATCATTAATGCTTGAATGTTTGCTGGCGTGAAATGAAGAAATCAGTCCCTCTTTCCGACAGGACATGAAACCTTGACTGGGCCCGTGACTGCAGGATGTGCTTCAAAAGTTGGTTTCGTATGAATTCCCAATTGAACAACACATTGTTTCTTTCGTTTAAACATATAAGCAGCAGTGACCTACAGGTATCCTTATATGATATGTATATATATATATAGTTATACATATATACATATACATAGACATATATATATATATATGTACATGTATGTATTTGTTTTATATTCTACTCTCTATATATATAATATATAATACATAACTATATAAATATATACACACATATGGGATATCATGAGAACAAGCGAGGCGCAGCTTCAAACCGCGCCGGCCTTCTGGGGCACTTCCGTCTCCGCCGTCTTGGACCTCAAGAAGCCGCGCCCATTGCACCAGGCCGAGATAAGCCGCCAGGTTCCCGCCCCTCCCCCTCCCACACCCTAAAACAACACAAGAACACACACACACACAAACAAAAAAAACACCCCCCCCAAAAAAAAACGGAAAACCAAAAAAACACAAGGGCCATGTTAAAGTGCAGGTAGATTGCAGGTGGTTCACCTTGTTCAGCCACTGCATGATTTTGGGGGAACCAACCCGGTGTCTTCAGCTGCTCGCCCAAGCACGGATTCGTTCAGCATGCGCCCCTTCTCATGGTCCTCATGAATCTTTTCCTCAATCCCTCTGAACCAACATGAACCCGAAAACGGCCCCGTGAATCTGAACAAGCCGCACAGCTCCTATGTGCCCGCACAACATGCTACCAGGCCTCGCCAGGGATACTTTCCCTTCGCCGTGCACCGACTACTCTGGAGAAATGGCACCATGAAACACCTACGCTGTGCCCCACGCCTTGGTGAAATGAGGTGCGGACACGGATTTGAATCCGTGCTTTACCCGTGCTCTGTGAATCTCTACGTGGACAATTGGGTGACATGAGGGTTCACAAGTCCCCAGAGCTAAGAGGCGGACACCTCCTTGATTTTCACCTGCAAACAGGCGAGATAGGTGCATGCCTGGACACCACTCCGTTTTTTGTTTTTGTGTTTTTTCCGGTTCAGGTGAAACTCTGCAATCGGACTCCTCCCAAGAAGTTTGGTGAGAGCTCAAATGGGTTGATCCGATGAAATGCGTGCATGAAGCTGATTTCTGAACGGGGTCCAGCTTTGACGATTGAAACTTTCGGCCCTTTGGCACCCAACTCTGGCGAGTTGAAAATACATCGAAATCAGTTGGCGCCCGTTTGGCAAAAGCCACTGGGCAGATATCGGATTCCTGAACGCAACGAACGAATCAAGCAAGCAAGCAAGCAGGCAGGCAGGCACGCAGGCAGGCAGGCAGGCAAGCAGGCAAGCAAGCCAAAAGCTGCCTGTCACAAACAAGGACGCGAATTGAAACAACAATGCAAAGGGGCCCTAGCTTTAACATGCACTCCAATCAGCTTACCTGGCCTCTGGTGTGCATATGAATCCGCGAACCTGTGGCTTGCAAGCGCTGGTCCTTTAAACGCTTTGACCAGCTGCAGTTGAGCGCTTTGGCTGTGACGACCATGACATGAAGGCAAATGACCATCTAGGATAAAGTAAGCCAGCACAACACACCTACAGTTAAACACGGCCTGCTGGCAGTATGGTTTTGCACAATATTGATTGCTTCCTTGGGGTCACGCAGGCTTTAGCCCAAAGTTGCAGTCTGGTGTATTCTCAGATGCTGGCTGTGGGACCAACTTTTCTGCCTCGTGCTCAGCTAACCTGAGCCCGTGTGACCCGGGGTTACCATGGGTTACCCACAACTTACCACAAGCGCAGACCACGAGCGGCCTTCGATCCCGCCTCCTTGGAAAAAGGCGTCCGAGAGCGCCGCGACACCTGGCAAGACTCTCGGGCCGCGGGCGTCTCTGGGATTTTTTGGGCGGGGGGAGGGGGACGCATTCACCTCGCAGTGTCGTTCAGACATTTGCACAGTTCACAACAAGATGGAGGCATCCTCATTGGTATTTCTTTTGAAAGGGATCCAGTGTTGACTTGCTTGGACCATTCTTGTCCAAGCTTGCTGGGGGGCAGATTTGTTACTCCGGGATTGTTAGTTGTCAGAACTCCCAGCAAGTGGACTCGCAAATGCAACTTGCCCGTCGGATAAACAGCCAACTGAATTTGTCAAGAAATCCAAACACTCAGTGTCAAGGGTTTGAACTACACACTCCAAACCACAAATTCTGCTAACCCTTACACATAAGATGTCCCGGGCTGTTTGGGGGTTCCTTAAAGTTCCCGCAAGGGATATGGGTGGGAGACATAGGCTGCTAGATTCCACGCTCCAGGGGTTCCTGCTACTGTTCCCATTTCTTTCTTCGAAGTATCCATCGTTATGGGGAAATCAAATTCTTTGGCTACACAATCTACAAGCGCTTCTCGGTGGCCGAACACACCTGTCGCTCAGGCAATGAAAGGACTATTGCTTGGGACCCGGACTAAAGATGGATCAACGCCGGAAAGTCAAAACAAACAAAAGGGTTGCTTTGGACAATGAAGATGCCATCCCTGCATGTAGCCGTTTGGTTTTTCCAAACGGGGCTATCCCCAAACATGGGACTGTTGGGTTTGCCGAAAACTGTTTTGATGACGGGTCACTGGTTGAAACCAACAGCTCGGATTCGATTCCTCGACTCGGAGATTTGGTATTCGGTGGCCAAATTCCTTGGCCAACTCGGTTTCCTGGTTGCCTTCCAAAGGATCACCAGAGGGTTTCCCTATTTGCGTATGGATTAAACTTAAACCACCAGGAATTGGACCGCAGGTGTTAGTCCTTGTTTCCATTTGCCAGGGTTCCATTTTGGACACCTTTTTTGGACCCCCACCCATTTGGCGTAACTTCGATCCAGCGCTCCAGGCTCTCGGAAGCTGTGCGCGCCTCTTGCCAGTCCTGGTCCGTGAAGGGCACGAAGCTGGGCTGCAGCCAAGGCATCCGCGCCTGGCTGAGTCCAGCAGGCCGATCCCGGATGTTTTTATCTCTCAGCGCCTGGAAACGAGAGAAGCCCCTTCAAAGGGGTGCCAGTTTGAAGAAAATTATTAATGCAAGTGATGGTACAGCTTTCAACTTGAATGAAGACCATCACTCGCTTCGAAGTTGCACAGACTCGGGGTTGGATAACGACTAGGAGTGGGATGGAGTTGGCGTGGATTTGGGGATGGTTCCTTTAATGTTGGCTTCATGCTGGATACTGGGCTGGTGCAGTGGATTTATTGCGGGGAGGATGTTGCTGGTTGACAAGCAAACCGTTGGCGTTGACCAGGCTCGTGCGCTGTGGACCTTGCCACCGCTACGATCCAATAGCTACAACCCACCAGGTCCAAGCTAGCAACCAGCCATTAACGGGAGCCAAGCCTGTCAAAGTCTAAGGGCGCGCCAGTTCTGTTTTTGTCTTCTGCGAGGCCACAGCTTCCCTTTGACCTCAACAATGAAGGGGGTTGCAAGCCCGAAACCTATCGGTGCCGCCATTCTTGCAGACCTCTTCTCCTTCAACTGCTTCGAGTCAGCCATCTGCGCTCTGGCTGCCAGCCACAGACTCCCCTTCCTAGGAGGCCCGTGTGCCCATAGCCAGGTGCATTGGAACCCACCGGTTCATTTTCATGTGGACGAATAGATGGATTCCAACGGCAAAGGATCAGAATTAAAACTTCAACCAGGTGCCATCCACATGCTCTTTACCAAACTGACCTGAACCAGGGCACCTGTGTTTTTGCCCCCCCCCCCCCCCCCCTGTCTCAAAAAGGGGAGGCCAACACCTGGGCCTGCGGTCGGCTGTGCGCCTGCAGCAGTGCCAGGCGCGCACGCTTGCGCATCTCCAGGTCCTCCTCACTGCAGTCCTGTCGAAGCAACGGGGTGTGTCTCAAAGCGAACCCCCACCAAAAGCCTCAAAAATGGCTGGTTTCCTTTTGGCGTCCTTGTAAAAGCTACTCCCAAAGAAATATCCTCACAAAAGACACCCCACCTAGCAGTAAGCCAACATGAGGGGCTTGCAGGTATGACTGGTCTTGTGATGAGCCAAACTCGCAAAAAGTCACAAAACAACGTCGGGCCCAACAAAATCGGTTTTGGTGTCCCATTAAAAATGCCCAAATGGCGTTTTTTCAAGGGCGGAAGGACCTCTTTGCTAGGGAGTGATATGGGGGTGTCCCATATCAACCCTTTCGGCTGATGTTTGGAAGAAAGCCCAAAGGACATGAGCCCAAACTGCCAATGCACCAACAAGGCTCATCGAGCTTGGCGAAGTTGAACTCATGACCGACTTCCAACCAAGGCTCCGATTTTCCCTGCACAAGATGTTAGCCCAGCCGCACAGGGCGAGCACCTTGTTTCGGTTCACCTTAAATTGCAACCCATCCAAAAAAGCGGCCAAAAGGGTGCCACTGGATGTCTGGGCCAGAACCAATGAATGGTGTTCCGTCTTTCTGAGATCCAAATTTGTCGCGACTTTCGGACCGGAGCCCGTCAGCTGGGGCTCCCACCTCCAAGACGGCCTGGCGCAGGCAGACTCAAGAGTATCAGGATACTCTGTGTAACCCAAGTTCACTGCGCACGCGATTGAGTTCTACAAATGCTATTCTTGTGCAAAAGGTCGCTCTTGGCAAGCATGTCGTCAGGTCAAACGAAGAAGCACTATCCATATCCAAATGCTCCGTACTGGTGTTCGCAACTGCGCTTGAGGCTCGTACGGAGCCACTTGTCAAAACACAACAGCTCCGAAGCTAGAACTTCCAGATCTGCACGGCGCACGCTGATGCTAAGAATCAACTACACCCACACATGCACCCGGAAAGTGGGGATCCCGCATGAGGCAGGCTCCGATACAAATCTCGGACGCCGATGTGAGTCAGGGCATGGATCTAGCAGGCCATTGTCTGCCCGAAGCGCGATGACTAAGGAGTTGTTTGCAGCCTGCACATGAAAACAACCAAGAGCTCACGACAAGAACAACTAAAAACAGCTACACCAAGAATGGTGACAAACACATGGCTATATTGAACCTCAGTGACAACTTCTCGGGGGTCTGAAAAGGAGTCCAGCTTGACCATAACTTCCGCCAAAGGTTCTAAGCAGCTGCACCGACATCCCTACAAACTCCAAGCAACACCCTGATGGCCTCCCTGATTTCCCATAGTGCTTAGTTGGAGAGCTATCTATCAGGGAGCCAGCATTGATGTTCATCAAACAGTTCATGGTCGTGGTCAAAGTTTCCAGATAGCCATGTTCCCAAACCCTTACCCCCTTTCCAGGTAGCTCTGAATTCGCACTGTTCGATGATTACATGGTGATGCCGTTGGGCATAATGTAGCAAGGAGCCTTTAGCAATACCCAGGACACAGGGCAACGGAATAGTGAGCTATTGAAAGAAAAACTGTCAGCAACAGCCCCCCCCCTCCGAAAAAACCAGCCACCCTAACCCTGCCACTTGCCACCTTCTGCGCCCCCCTTCCACCGCCCCTTGCCCCTCTGCTGCCTCGCCTCTACGTGCGCCTCCACAAGGTTTGCACGTGTCTCTTCCAGATGCAGGGTCACCGTTTGTACGCGCCTCTGACTTGAGATTCTCAAAGGTACTCTGATAAAGGTTCCCAAGAAGCCCTTACAGAGATGGGAGTATTTGGGGATGGCTTGCAGGGCAGGCAGGCTTTGGAATTAAGCTGGATGCGCGCTTTTGAAACCATGTGCTTGCAGTTGAGTAATTGTTTTCCGCCCTTGAGAACGCGTTTGCTGCCTGTCAAGGGAGACGCATTCCTATTGGAAACAAACATACACACGCTAATGAGGGCAAGCTGCGACGCTTGATTTGCAGGATGTCATGCGACCATGGGCATGTGCGAGTCGGCCTCTTACCACAGACGTTAGCAATGCGGGTCTGACATGCTGCTTTGCCGGTCCCCCCTAAATGCGCTTGTCCATTGGAAAAGGGAGCACGAGCTGCGCAAATATGCAATGTTGTCGGGCTTGCGCACGGGTGACGCAGTCCGCCCGCGCAAGCCACAAACATTGCCTCGCGCGTGTGGTTTCACCTGCTCGGCGACCGCAGGGTATGTAGCCCATGCTTGGTGAGCGCAGAGTAGGGTGTTGCATCAGCCGCTTTCGTGAACCCGCCCGCCGTGCTTGTTGACACTTTGCAGCTCACGTGCTGCAGGCGCTCTGTTTGACAGTTTTGCAAAGAAAGGATTCCCAAAGTTGTTACGTGTGAAAACCAGAACCAGGGATCGAAAGAGACAGAGAGAGAGAGAGAGAGAGAGAGAGAGAGAGAGAGAGAGAGAGAGAGAGAGAGCGAGAGAGCGAGAGAGCGAGAGAGCGAGAGAGCGAGAAAGAAAGAAAGAAAGAAAGAAAGAAAGAAAGAAAGAAAGAAAGAAAGAAAGAAAGAAAGAAAGAAAGAAAGAAAGAGAATGTAGATGGTGAAAGGGCTGAGAAACACAGCTGAACGAGCCCACAACTTCTTGGCGCCCAAAAACAAAGGCCCCAACGCAAGGCGCGCGTTGCAGCCAAGGGGACCAACCAAGCTTCCCAACCAAGGGGCAGACAAGCGGGCAGCGCGGAAAAGGCCTCGCCACTCAGCAAATCCGGTGAGACAGCTTTTTGTCTCGTCCAGGGTCAGGCATGTGTCCAAGTTCATGCGGCACCACAACACATTTTCAAGAGCGAGACCCCGGTCGGCAAAGGCGTCGGCTGCGTGCCTGATTGGCGAGTCAAGGCTGTGCAAGGGACTGGGGGCGTCTGCATTGTGAAACAGCAGGCTCAAAATTGCAGTCTTATTGACTCAACCGAATCCACCATGACTCACGGGGGCTGCGCCTGCTCTTCCTCAAGGCCGGCCAAGCAAACGCCGGCTTCTGACAAAGAGAAAAAGGATTGCAGGCCCCAATTGAGCGCGCCTTTCTGCCCGGCGCTCGGGCAACCCTGAGACCAGGAGGGGGGGAGAGAGGGGGGGGAGGGAGGGGGAGGCTGCAACAAAACTGGTTTGGGTGGCTTTTTTCAGCAGCTGAAGGGTCAGGGCCGGGGCGCCCGAGCCCGAGTTCGGGCTCCCTTCAAACTGGATCCCGCGTCAACGCCCCCAACGCGGCTCCAAACCACGCGGCTGCCCTGGCGCTATGGCGTGGTCTGAATGTGAAAAAATCAAACGAGCTCACCCCGCAGCACGGCGACGTCACACTGCGAAAACAGGTCTTCCCTGCTAGCGCAGTGCGCCCCATTTCTTGGCCAGCACGCCAAACCAGTCCCGCAAAGGTCTCGCATCGTTAGCCTCGCGCAAGCCGGACCTCTTTTTCTCACCCCGTGGGTAGGGGTCTGGAACAATTGAACAATTACCCATCCCTTTTGGTTTCCATTTGGGTCAATTAAAGATAATTGGGCTATTTAGCACCCAGGCCAGGAACGTGGAGGTGGAAATGCCTGGTCCGCTCCAAAAGCCCGCTCGGCCAGCCTCTTTCCCATTCTTCCTGGCTGGGCATCGAAGGTGCAGGTCTCCCATATTCTTTGGACTTTCTTTGAGAGTACCGGAAATGTTTCAAGGTAAAGCAAAGGGATCCCTCAATGTTAAAACGCACACATACATTCACAGTTCATCCCTCAAATATGGCAAGTGGGAAGCTGTGTGTGTGTGTGTGTGTGTGTGCGTGCGTGTGTGTGTGCGTGTGCGCGTGCGCGTGCGTGCGTGTGCGTGTGCGTGTGCGTGTGCGTGTGCGTGTGCGTGCGCGTGCGCGTGCGCGTGCGTGTGCGCGTGCGCGTGCGCGTGCGCGTGCGCGTGCGCGTGCGCGTGCGCGTGCGCGTGCGCGTGCGCGTGCGCGTGCGCGTGCGCGTGCGCGTGCGCTGCGCGTGCGCGTGCGTGCCTGCGTGCGCGTGCGCGTGCGCGTGCGTGTGCGCTGCGCGTGCGCGTGCGCGTGCGCGTGCGTGTGCGCGCGCGTGCGCGTGCGCGTGCGCGGCGCGTGCGCGTGCGCGTGCGCGTGCGCGTGCGCGTGCGTGCGCGTGCGCGCGCGCGTGCGCGCGCGCGCGCGTGCGTGCGTGTGCGTGCGTGCGTGCGTGCGTGCGCGTGCGTGCGTGCGTGCGTGCGCGTGCGTGCGTGCGTGCGTGCGTGCGTGCGTGCGTGCGTGCGTGCGTGCGTGCGTGCGTGCGTGCGTGCGTGCGTGCGTGCGTGCGTGCGTGCGTGCGTGCGTGCGTGCGTGCGTGCGTGCGTGCGTGCGTGCGTGCGTGCGTGCGTGCGTGCGTGCGTGCGTGCGTGCGTGCGTGCGTGCGTGCGTGCGTGCGTGCGTGCGTGCGTGCGTGCGTGCGTGCGTGCGTGCGTGCGTGCGTGCGTGCGTGCGTGCGTGCGTGCGTGCGTGCGTGCGTGCGTGCGTGCGTGCGTGCGTGCGTGCGTGCGTGCGTGCGTGCGTGCGTGCGTGCGTGCGTGCGTGCGTGCGTGCGTGCGTGCGTGCGTGCGTGCGTGCGTGCGTGCGTGCGTGCGTGCGTGCGTGCGTGCGTGCGTGCGTGCGTGCGTGTGCGTGCCTGTGTGTGTGTGTGTGTGTGTGTCTGTGTGTGTGTGTGTGTCTGTGTGTGTGTGTGTCTGTGTGTGTCTGTGTGTGTCTCTGTCTGTGTGTGTGTGTGTTTGTGTGTGTGTGTGTTTGCGTTTGTGTGTGGGACAAACCCTCCCCTCCCCCGCCGCAAAGCGGTGGGTTGTGTTTGTTTTCGCAGGGGTCACCGGTTGAAGCAAGCCTTAAGCAAAAAATGCCACCTAACCTCCTTCCGCGTATTGCTGCATGCGCGGCGCGCTCGGATGTACATGTTCGATGTATTCATGGCGTTTTCTTGAGGTTATCGCCACAGTTGAATGCACGATGCTCACAAAGGCCTAAGCTGCGGCGCATGTCGATCCTTAAAACAAGTCGCAAGCCTGCCGACCGGAAGCAAAGTCATTTGGTTGTGGGTCAACAAAAAGGTCCCAAAATGTAACCCTGGTAAATGGAAACGTGGACTAGACATTGCGTTTTTTTCTAGTGATTTCATTTTGAACCATACCCATTTGGCAGAATACACATGCAAGACCCCTCTTCAGGGGCCGTCTCCAAGGGAACCGAGGGGAAAGTGTAGATGCCACAAATGCTTGCAAAACTTCTTTGAGCCACCTTGCTTCCCCAAAGGCAGGAGGTGCCCATTTGTCTCGCACCCCGGCCCGTATGGTTCTCTCCCGAGGGAAGCCACTCAGTGGGGAGGTACGCATACCCACATGTTATGCATGCTGGAAGTGCTGCCCTTGTTCATTCACATACACATTACATCGAGCATCTCTCAACTGGCAGGGGCAACGGGCATGCTTCTCTAGAAGGCAACTGTACCCCTACAAGCCCGCCTGGGCAAATGTTGAATATATTTTTGATGGAAGGCATCCAAGCTGCTGGCGCATATCCCTGATTTCAACACAGGCTGAGGCTGCACCCTTGATTCCCTTGTGGACAAGGCACCCTAAACAAAAATGTGTCTAAGCCATTTTCGGCCAGGGCCTTACACCCTTCACCTTGCGGCTTTGCGATGTGCCAAAGACCACGAGGTCGCGCCTCTCGCTTGCCTGCACAGTAGGGGGGGCGCCTGATTGTCCCACTCAGGGGTCGTTGGGAAAAAATACATATATATATATATATACATACACACACATACACATTTATTTATATATCAGAGTCGTGTTTCAGGGAGACCCTCAGCAAGAGTTGGCGGCCAAAAAAGTCAGGGGGTTGCGTTGAGGCACGCCTTCAGTTGCCCGCTTGAGTATCCTCCCTCGGGACAGCATGAACAGCATGAACAGCGCCTACATCAGGCTGAAGGGCTGGCAAGAGATATTGGCGAGGATCTTCCTCCCTCTTGGCGAGTCATCGCACATCTTCCCAAAGTTCACTCCTAACAGTTTTCGCATATCCTCGCCACTCTCAGTTCCTGTATATGCATTGCTCTGTTCGCTCCAATGTTTTCGATTTAACAAATCGTCGGCCGACCCGAAGAAACAAACAACACCATCACAGCCGGGGATTCCAGGGCAAAACACCAGTTGTGGATCCAGCTTTTCCGAAGAGGCATCAAACAAGTGTTTCAGTTACTAGCCATGGGTCAAAATCCCGTACCCCCAGTGAACATCCCAATCCCCACTAAAATAGACTAAAAATGGGTGGTGAATTCAGCTACCAAAATGGTACCATTGGCTTTGACACACAGCCATATTCTCTCCTGGTGCAAGAGGTGGAAGTAGCGATGTGCTAGATACCTTGCGGACGAAGCCCTGTTCATGCATCAACTAGGAAGGAAAGGACTGACGATTTAGTTTGTCAGGAGCCCGTGTCAAGGCAATTTGGCAACGAGAATGCCAAACAAACAGCAACAGCTTGTCGTTTAACAGGAATGCTTCTTCCTTTGTGGATCCCTTTTGGGGGTTGTGATTGGTGTATTCCCAAGAAACGCCGCCAGATCTGGAAAGCTTGGAACTCAACTGATTGCCCAACCGATCTCTGGGCGAGCCTATGATTGGTGGGCAAAGGCAATACCGCTTCACAAACCAACAGGCCCCTTGCAGCTTTTGTGTCTCCTCTCACTCGAAGTACGAACAGTATGAACTCCTTGTGGACCATGTGCCTTTTGCAATTTGTGGACAATATCTTGAAGGTGATACGCATTCAGGCCAAGAAAGCTAGGCTCTCTGAAGTAGTGTGTTCAGCAGCGAGCACGAAGATAAACTTCACTGCTTTGTCTTGAAGGTTATCTGAAATCCTGCTCATCTCTGCCTCCACACGCTCCCAGATCGAGTGCGATGGGTTCCGGGCAAGGGCGCGCAGCACCAAAGAGCCCCGGGCCATGTCTGGGATGCTATCCTCAAATCTCAGCTGCAGCATCTGAGCCAGGCAGCGGGCCAGCTCAATATTGAACCCCTCCTCCACCACCGCTACAAGTCCGCATGAGAGGCGGAACTGGACGTGCAACAGCTGCATCAACTGATCAGACTCGAAGTCAGATGGTTTGAATGGCGAGACGCTCTTGGAATCAGGCACCAGCGATAAACGGCCATCCATCGAAACAATGAGCCTGCGAAACTTGGCCCCATTCAGATTCCGTGGATCCTCAGGAAGCAAGCCTGCTTGTGCCAGCATGGGAATATCTTCTTGCACTGACGTTGGAAATTGACCATTGGCAGAAGCCACGCAAACTCCAATGATGCACAACTTGTCGGTTTTGCGGAAGAACATCAAGCTGGGCGGGTGTGCAGACACTGGGCAAATAGCAGAATAGGCTGCCAATGCGGCTGCCTGCTTGGTCCAAATATGCTTGAACCTTCGTACCTCACCCGGGAAGCTTTGCAGCAACGAGATGGAGCATGTTCCAAGTCTCCCCTTCTGCGAGTTGTGCCTCCAGCACTTGCAAAAACAACTTCCGCGCACAAAGAGGCACAGAACCGATATATTTCTTGACGTTCTCCTCAAACGTAGTGGGATCTGGCGTCGCCTTCCTCCAATTCAGGTCTAAGGTCGGGGAATCTGGACAAAAGGCGCCGCGTTCGAACGCCTCAAGCGCCTGCATTGTCAAGAGGTGCTCCGGTTCTGCACTGAGACTTACCTCAGATTCGCCCAGCTGGAGGAAGTCAAGCAACTGCGCATTGGGCTGCACCATCTTTTGGCTGCCCCAGCCGGTTTGTGCCTTGCTAGTGATGGAAACCACCCGCTGAGGTCCGCCGACAGTTGTGCGAAGGTACAATCCGACGGGAGCGTGACGTGCAGCGTTTCTCCGCTCAAACGCCAGCATTCGAGAGCAACCCCATCTGCATGGCGGCAAAGATCCGAATTGCCATGGATGTGAAATGGCTTTTGAGCCCGAGCCCAAAAGCATTGGCCTGCATGCAAAGCCCAAACCTGTCCCCAAAAGCCTCCTCTGGGACGATGTAAGGCCTTGCAGGATCCAACCCATTGGCCCAGGTTCAAGAAGTTGTGAATCCCAAGAACCATTTCTTGTGGAAAGTGTATCTTCATTGACTCTTGGGAGCATTTGCAAAGCGCGGGTCGAAGCGGGCTTGAGATGAAAACTGTGTAAGCACTGCCTGCAAGTGCCTGCCTCCTTTTGTCTCGACTGACTTCAATTCCAAGCCTTTGGCACCCGAAGAAAGCAGTTCCCGCGCTCGAGGCACATCGGAAACCGCCATTAGGTACTTCCCTCGATTGTGAGCCGGACTCGCCACCCAAACACCTAAGCATCTCAAGTATATGCTCCAAGCCGCTGTGACTAAACGTATGTCACCAGCATGCGCTGAACAACTTATCCACGTTGACCGGTCCACACTTCGACCGCGCCTGTCGGTTGGCGCCCAAAAGGCCCGCAATGATGGCCATCACCGTGGTTGTCTTCCCAGTGCCCGGGGGCCCCTGCCAGCAAGTGCACCCAAAACCCAAGTGGGTGGCAACAAAGCTTGAACAAACGCAGAGGTGGTTTGGTTATGTCGGTGTTCGTTGTTGCAATCTTTCTGGTGTTTCAAGCTGGCTTGTTCTTGATTTCTTGCTTGTAAACCTGTCTGGCATTCTTTCAAAAGGCTGACATAGGCTGACTTACCGTGACTTGCCCGCCAAAGGGCCACAAACGCAACACGGCGTGGCGCTAATGCAGAACAGTTACACCTAGATGTCCAAATGGCAGAACAAGTGCAGAACACTTGCAGACCATTTGCAGCAACGTAGCACATACAATTCTGAATGATGGCAGACACTTTGCAACTAGAAATCAATGGCGGACCTGTGGCAGAATAAAATGCAGGCAAGTTGCAGACACAAGGCAAACACACGGCACCTAGAGTTCGAAACGGCAGAAAAGGAGCAGAACAATTGCAGAACCTTTGCAGACAAAGTTCAGAAACACGTCAGACAAATGGCACATAGAGTGCCAAATTTCAGAACAATGGCAGAACACTTGCGGAACAATTATACCAGCAAACTGGCGCACAAAAATCGACATGATGGCACACCAATCGCACCTAGAAATCCAAACTGGCGCAGTGTTCCAAGCCCTTCTTGCGGCCGAGAACTGTCAAATCCCTTTCGCGAAGGCGATTCTGGCGGCATGCAGTCGGCCAGTGTTTTACCCACTGAATGCGTTGGCAAAGGTCCCGTGTAGCTACAACTTTTCAAGGCATCCCGAAAGACATGCCTACCTCCTCACTTAACAAGTAGTTGCTCCATGCCAAACCAACTGCCTCAACCCTACTCGCAGCCATGCATTGTGTCCCGCCTGCACCAAGGTGATGCCCTGCACCTGCAGGGAATCAAAGCAGCTACCACTGCTGGACCCTGCTGTGGTTTTTGAGTGGTGTAAATTTCGGCTTCTGGCGTTCTTGGGCGCCTCCGTTCGGACACATGACTTATGGATGTTCTCTTGTTTTGTGCCTCTCTTGGCTTGGCAGCATGTGCATCAGGCCACAAGCGGCTTTTCTTGCAGGGAAATGGAAACGAAGCCATGGATTGCTGCTTGCTTGATTCTTGGTGTCCAAAGTAGGAACCCGCACTCAAAGTACTAACCTGGATCCATCTGGATTCTTTGTTTGGAGTGGGAAGCGGCCCTAGTTCAAAGGGATGGCACTCGCAATGTCGCATGTAGGGAAAAACAAGCGCAACAAAGACGCAAGCATATGCGAAAAGCACATGCGCAAATCTTTGATTCAAGAATGGGGTGAGTTGGTTCCTCAAATATGAGAGTAGCACGCGTCATACACTGCCCTTGAGAGCATTTGAGTCACGCAGCCAATTCCAACATTTCTGGAGTCTCCTAAGCACAGTTCACCGAGAAACGAGTCTCCACCATTTTCAGACATTTCAGCTGTCGATGTTGTGGAAATGAAACCCTGTGTGCGACCAGACCGGGCCTTCCATATAACATGGACGCAGTGTGGCCATCCAAACAAAAGGCATGATGGGCCCAGCAAACAGTTCGGGTGCAATGGCTCCTTTTGCCATGTTTATCCCGTTCGCCCTCTCTGCTGTATATAACACCCCACACAAAGGAGACTTACCATTGAAAAACCCTTGCCAAGGAAATCTGGGCACCCTTGTCGCAAGGCACATCTTGCCAGCCAGGGTTAGACACGCCCTGCTGCCAGTTTGAACATGTGTGCTAGGTATTCATTGAGGGACCTGCTTTTGCACGGATTTTTCCTTGGTCTACCTGCTTGATGTGCTTCCTTTGCATGGTCATTCATTCTTCGGCGCAAAGTTTTGCAATATCGCTAAGAATTTCATAAGTGCTATAGGTGCTGCTATTTGTTCCTCTCCCCGGATCTTTGCGTGCGTAGGAAGCTTTTCACAGGGCGTCTGTCCTTGCAACATACACACTGATTGAACCGCATGTATGTATGACATATCTTAAAGTCTACTTGTCACTGCAAAACCCCGCTGTGTACTCTCAAACAGAGACGTCACCCATTGTGAGCAACGGTCAGCATTCACTGCCATCACAGTTGCACAACATAATTTCTAAACCCACCAAGTCGCTATGGACAATGACGGAGGTTACTCGCCAAACTGCCATTGCGTCACGTGTCACCATCTAGCGGATGGCCTTCTGCGAATCGCGAATGGCATTCTGCTGGGACTCGTTGTACCTCCATTCAGGCGAGCAACACTTTGTGGTTTAAAAAACAAAAAACCTTCAAGCCCGAAGGAACAACATTGCTTCTTTTCGAGCGAGGCACTTCTGACATACACCCTTTTGGAATGTCAACAAAGACTCAATGCGCCGCTTGGCAGCTAGATCCCGGCGTTCCTGTTGCCACGACCACTGTAAAATCCACCAATTTGATGGGGTGCCAAAACCGATCTCCAGCGGACCTCATGTTGAGGGCAGTGAATTGGGCGCCCCCCCGTCTTCAGAGCACAGAGGGCATCAGAAAATGCGGATCAAGAAATGATTGGCTCGACTGGGCTATAGGTGACCCTGAGCAAGTTGAATCAACGTACTTCGGCCTTAAAGTTAGGTCTGTTTGTTTCATTGCTGCATGCAGCAACATGCATGGATCAAACTCAAGGATTGAACACCCGAAACACCAAACACCTGGATAAATCCAAACTAACACCTTAGGCGCATCTGCGAAAGCGGCCACTTTTGAAGGGCCTACATGAGCGAGCTCGTGCGATCCCCAAAACTCGCCAACGGAGGCACCCAAAACCTCCCGACTTGCGGGTTGCACACGTAGTTTCTGAAGTTCATGTGGGGAATGCCCTGCAAGTGGTTCCCTATGACGGGAACCTTCAGTCACAAGGCCGCGGGCCAAACCCGTGGCATTGCCCAACTGTACATACAATCAAAGTAAGTTTAGAGGAACTTCCGTAGTGTGGACACTACGTGAAAGGTATGAAGAAAGAATGAACGGGCGCGACAAACCATGCGTGGACTTGCGGCAGGGGAATAGACATCGCGAAATGGCGTGGCCCTGTCGGCGTTTGGCGTGTCTGCGTTGATGTCAACTACCTCTGCCTCGACGCCTGTCTGGTGCGTGGGCGGCGTAGGCGCAGCGCGTGCGTTGCTCTCTTGCAGCACCGGTACGAAGGTTTTAATTGCGTGGCAGGCGCAGCACGTTCGCGAGGTCGGGTACAGATTGTGTGGTGTTCGAGCGGCACCTTCGCAAGTTCAGGTACAGATTGTGTGGTTAGCAAGGTGACGGATTTCGTGGCAGGTGCAGCACTTTCGCAAGCAAGACAGATAGATAGATAGATCGATAGGAAGATAGATATAAAGATAGATCCATAGATAGTGATAGACAGCTAGGTGGATGGATGGACGGATGGATGGATAGCTAGATGGCTAGATGGCTAGATGGATAGATGGCTAGATGGATAGATGGATAGATGGATAGATAGATGGATGGATGGATGGATGGATAGATAGATAGGTAGAAGTTAGATAGATAGATAGATAGATAGGTAGAACTTAGATAGATAGATAGATAGATAGATAGATAGATAGATAGATAGATAGATAGATAGATAGATAGATAGATAGACAACTAGATAGATAGACTGACTGGATGGATGGATGCATAGGTGGATGGAGGGATGGATGAATGGATGCATAGGTAGGTATATATATAGATATATTATATTATTCAAATGATAGATAGATAGATAGATCGATAGATAGATAGATAGATAGATAGATCGATAGATAGATAAATCAACTAGATAGCTAGATCGATTACATTGGATTGGTTTGGATTGGATCGGATTAGATTAGATAGATAGCTAGACAAATAGATAGAGAGATCGATATGTATATAGGACGAAAGCAAAACAAAAAAAGAGAAATAACGCAACAAAGAGAGAAAGAATGAAATAACTATATAAAGAAATAAAGACACCAAAAAAAAACAGAAAGACAGAAAGAAAGAAAGAAAGAAGGAAGGAAGACAGAATGAACGAAAGAAAGAAATAAAGAAAGAAGGGAAGAATAACGAAATAAAGAAAGAAAGAAAGAACGACAACAAAGAAGGAAAGGACGAAAGGAAGAAAGGAAAAAGGAAGGAAGGAAGGAAGAAAGGAAGAAAGAAAGGAATAAAGGAAGAAAGAAAGAAAGAAAGCAAAAACAAATGAAAGAACGACATAGAAAAATAAAACAATAACTAAATGCATAAATAAATAAATAAATAAATAAATAAATAAATAAGGAAACACAAAGCAATGGACATTTCACGGGGAATAACACAAAACCATGAAAGGAGAGAAGGCAATGAAGAAAGAGAAAGCAACGAAGAAAATACATAAACACATAACTGTAGCTTTTATATTCTAGACGCAACCGAATACCAGCTTCGCCAGACTTTATGCCCAGTGTGTGCGTGTTGCAGCCGTTGTGGGTGTCTAGATTTCATGGGAAAACTATGGGTCCTTTGATAGGTCCTTCAATGATGAATACACACCAGCTTATTGGATTTGACGCCTGCAGATTCCATGACACCCACGGCACGATATCCTCATGAGAGGAATCTTATTTTCAGGTCCATCTGTGGAAGAGCAACTCTTCCTAGAACCATGTTTTCGGGCGGTGTGCGGCGTTACTTTCATCCATCCCCCCCCCCCCCCTCTCCCCTCCCTCGCTCTGTGCCTGGATTGCAGCCACTGCTCCATGGCCTCAGGATACTGAAAGCTGCAAACAACGCAGTCACGAGGCACGCACATGGAAGCTCTGTCAGTCAGTTTTCAGAGTAATGGCACCTACTGAACTGAGCCTCTAGCAAAACATGTGTGTGTTCATCCATTGTTCTGAACAAATAAACATACATACATAGCTTCAAGCATCAAAGATCCACTTTAGGGTGCCGTCCGCTTTGTCCGTTCAATTTCCAGGCCCAGTCAATGGGAGGGTTCCAAACCAAATGGATCCACTCCCCAGGTGAACGCCGCATTGGTCGCAGAAATCGGGAAGCTGCCTCCGCCCTCATGGTGGACACTTAGAGTCTGTTTGTTTGACCTTTGTTGTGTTGGGCTTCTAAGGTTCAAAGCCTTGACCTTTTGGGTTCAAAACCCAGCTTCAACACCCTGTGTTGGGTTCAAAACCTTGGGGCTTTCGGGTGTTTGACCTTTGCGTTGGCCCGCAAAATCCCCGCCCCATCCTCCGCCCCCCCCGGTTCTCTGTCTCTGGGCCTCGGGGAGCACCAACGTCCGCTCGTCCAGGCGCAGCTTGGGCGCGGCCCCCAGCTCCAGCGCGGAGGCCGCCTGGTAAGACGTCCACCGGCTTCCGGCCCAAGCCGAGGGCTTCATCGCGCTCGGTTTTTCACATTTGAGAGGTTGGCATCAGTTGGGTTGTCCGACTTTTTTTCCTATTTTTCTATGTGAGTGGGGAACCCTGCCCAACAAAGGGGAGAGAAGGGCACTGGGGGACCCAGAACAGCTTTTTTGAGTAGGGCTACCAATCAGAGAAGGGTATACCATGATGTATGGAGGAACCTAGCCTTGCCAATGGAACTAAGTGAGCGGGAAATAGGAAAGAGATGCAAATGGCACATGCAACTCTCTTTTTCGCTGGTCAAAATCACTGCAAAGCCAACGAATGGCAATAGAGCGGTTGCCACCGTCAGTTGTATGCGACACATATTCGCCATACTTTGATTCAAAGGGACTCCTGAAGTTGACGGGTTGCTGGATTCCTTAGTTGTCTTGTGGCTTGCCATGGGCAACAGACCTGTGAGTGATTTGCCAGGTTTGGTGAACAACCCACTGAAACAGAAGGTGTCCTCATTTCACAGCACAACATCAACCCCCCACATCGCTCTGTCCGCGATTCCAAGCGCGGTTGACTCGTTTTCCCTTTGCTTTGCCAGAATGGTGGGTCCCATGGAGATCCCAGGCCAGCCTCGATTTGAACTTGCAAACACTCGGGTTAGCATGAGCTTGCGAGTCCTTGAAAAGTCTTGGGCCATAAATATGTAGACTTCTCTGGCTGCACCAATCCGTCCAAATCAACGTCTCCTTCTCAGCCTTGTTGGCATGGCTAGCGAAAGCGTTGGAGCAAATGAAATTGCCTTTCATTGACTGGTGTCATTTTTTCCCAAATGCTTTTTTCATCATATACAGGTCCTTTTGGCATGCCTAGTCACGAAATAAAACTCCTGCACAAAATCCCCCCCAGTGATTTGATCTTCTCTCAAGTCCAGTGCCCAAGTGAGCGTCGCGTAGGCCGGAACATCAACAAGGTCTGTGCGCAGGTTTGCTCGTCAAGCCTATGGGCTCGTTTGCCGCTTTTCGCACTTGGTGTTTGGGGTCGGTCTCAAACCAGGCTCAAAATGGGCGGGGACAATCCTAATCCGCAATCCGTAGGACCACTAAGGAAGACTATCCGGCACAAGGATCTGGATTGACTTTGGACAACCCAGTCAAAACCCACAATCGACTATGGTTGTTGGCACCTCTAAAGGGAACCAAAATGGAACCGTTTTTCAAGAGCTCGGCTCGGATCGCATCGCCTGCATCTCGGTGCCCTCGTCGCCTGACGCTGAGATCGTCGCAAAGGGTATAGCCACGGGTTCGAAATGGTCAAGACACACCAAGGAATGTGAATGTAAAAACAAACCTAAATATATGTATAAACAAACAAGCAAACAAATAAGTAAGCAAATATTTAAATGAATGCATACATATATATATATGTATATAAATAAAAACAGATGAATAAATAAATGAATAATTAAATAAATATATAAATAAACAAATCAATACATAAATAAACAATCACCAAACCGCAACCTCCCAATTCTAAACCATCAATTTACCAGCCATCCCCAACCAATACCAATGCTAAAGCGACACTGGAACAATTGTCGGCCAATTCCAGCACAAATCTCAAACATGACATTGGGTTCGCCTGTTTAAATGTCTTACTCGGATATCGCTATTGTGATGCAAGTTTTGGATGAGAGCCGTAGCGGAATCTGGTACCCTCATGTGCCCTATTCGAAGGTGAGTGGACGCAACAAAAAATAAATGACAATGGTCCCACGGTCGTAGCAGCGCCATGGCGCAGCAGTGTCAGTGACCAGGATGGATCTGCAAACCTGGTTCAACAAGCATGCTGCGTGTCGACCCATCATGGCAAGGGGTCAGTCCTGCCTTCGCACCGGACCCTCGGACAGGGCCGCCATGTGAAAGCTGAGTCGAGACCCTCCCAAGAGAGGGCCCTTCATGGGCCCAGGGCTCATTGTGTGCTCTGTGACGCTCGCTTTCCCGCTGCCTGTTGGTATCTCTTTCACAAGGATGTATGTGTAAAGTCCAGCATCTTGTTGAACTTGCGCTTTCTGCTTGATTCCTGAAGAGTTGAAAGTCAGGTTGGGCTGCCTCAGCCCTGCCTGGCACGTCCTCACGGTTGAGGATGGTCTCCTGGCGCATTGGCTGCTAGAGGGGCATCATTTGGAGGGAAAAAGCCAGGAAACTCTGAAAGAAACGGAACGTTTCCTTCCTCCTCTGGTTTCTAAGCATCAGGAAGAACCATCCAGAATTTAAACGCATTTCTTTGGACACACTCATGCGGTGTTGCAGGTTAGCCAACCCTATGCAATGGGCCCTCAACTTCGGCAAAGGGCCATGTGCACAGTGATCACGGCTCTGCCAAGTCATAGCCATGTCTTTCTCGAAAAACACCCACTGACAATGGCAGTCATGAATCCAAGGTAGAAATCAAGAACGCCCAGTATTCGCGGCATGGCACGGTTTGGTTTATGCAGCAGATTACCATCAGGAAATACAACATATTTTGACAAAAGTCCAATCTGGGTGGTTCTCTCGACCACTTTGCTGCCCAAGGCAAGAGGCGGTCATCCAGACTCCGGCCGAACAAAGTTCAAAGCGGCATGAGGCCATGTCAGGCAAGCATGTCCGGTCTTAGGACTCAGTTGACGGATGGCCCAGAACACGCTATAAGTTTCCAAACGGATGATCCCACTACTCGACACTTTCTTGACTGAAAAAACCTCTGAACAACGAACTCACTTTCAAATAGTCAAGTGAAGCATGCTGGTCTTACAGGGGTGAGAACGCATGCCCCCTTTTGATCATGACCCCTCCCAACAGGGCCGTTTTTCTAAGCAGATTGTGCTGCTTCAATCAACCCAACCAAGAAACGCCATGTGCAAACCAACCGTTACGACACCCAAAAAACCCTCGTCTCCTTGAGAAAGATCTCCGGCAGGGCTTTCATGCCTTCGAACTCCCGAATCCTCAGGCGCGACCCCTTATCTGGCCATGGATCAGAATCCAAATCGTACCCCCAGTGAACATCCCAATCCCCACTGAAATTGGTTCTCAAATGGGTGGTGAATTCACCTACCCCAAAACGGGATCCCATTGGTTTTGACCCGCAGCCAAATAACCCCACTTTTGAACACAGGCCCAGGCGGCCCACAGACTTGAAAGGTATCATGCTCCTGTTCCGGATACAGCGCATGCAAAGGGCATGTAACTTGTTTGGACCAGCCCCAGAATCCCCACATTGCACAACCGAAACACAATTCAGACATGTCGAATGCGTGTCTAGGCAACAAAAAGGTTCCTGTAGTAGACCTCTGGTATGAGGAGTGAGTCCTCTAATTTTGCTAGCAAACAGTAGAACAGGTCATATCATTCAGGTTAGGAATTGCCATTTCAAGCCATTGTATACGTGTATATATATATATATTAATATGTGTGTATAATCATATATGTATGTGTGTGCCCTGGCATCCGCAACTCTGCTCTTCCTGCAGCCTATGATGTGGTTCCCTTTGGCCCAAGAAGAACCACCCAACAAGTAGTCTCATACTTCTTGGGGAGGCTAGGGGTGAGGCAGACCTCCTCGATCCGGCCCAGCGGTGATCTCTCTGTTCTTCCGAGGAGTTTCCGCTGCCGGATCATCCTTGGTTGGAATTCATGTGGTGGAACCTTTGCATCTGCTGGCCACCTATCTCAAGGCGCGGCTCTTCCCAGATCTCGTTCTTGTCGCGTCTGTCTTTCGCTCTGCGGCGGCTTGTAGATGACAGCTGTCTTCCTCAAGCCTCCTATCATCAGCTTCCAGTAACGTGGTTCTACCCCAGGTAACATCAGGTTTTGCAGGGTCTCCTGCATTCTCCTGTCAAGTAGGCAAATTGGAGCACAAAGCAACGGTTACCACCACATTAGGAAAACATATTGAAAAGCCCAGGAAAGCCCAGGCAAACCCTTCCATGGAAAAAAAAACAACGCAAGAAAGACACACACACACACAAACAGTAGGACGTCAAAATGCCATGTCTGTGCTTCCAACTTTTTCGGCCGGCACAACCCCCAAACGCCTGAAACGTTGTCATCTCAAATACTACCTGCAAAAAGCAACCAACGAGCTCAAAAACACACGGAAGAAAAAAGAACACATAATAATATCCCCAGCCAATCAAATCATAGGGCCCCGTCATCGTTGCGTACCCCCCAAAACAACGGTCTGACCTTACACGACCTTTTGGGCGCTGTAAGCCCCTGTTGACATCAAAAGGCTGGCCAACCAGTTTGCTCCTTCCGCCAAAAAACAAACGTATTCAGTTGCTTGCTTGAGCAGCCACCCATGGGCATTCCTCCAGTGAGCGATGTGAAACGAACCTATGAGCAAGGCTTGGTTGACGTTGGAAGGGGAGCAAAAATTGAAATTTGAGCATTTAAGTGGGGGTTTGTCACTAAACCACAAAAGGCAAACATGTAAAATGTTCCCAACAACAACCATGAAGGGGTGCGTCAAGCAAAGCAAGTTGCCCGATCGCCGATCGCCGACGCGAGAATGAGGTCCCGGCTGCGTGGACATGGAGGTCACCTGCTGAGCGATCAGCAAAACTCGTCAGAGACATCTTGTGGAAATTTGGCAATTTCTGCCAACGGTGGAAAACCGTAAGGTGAAAAGTTCGGCTACGTCGGCAAGTCTGAAGGTGTAAAACAAGGCACTGCTGCAGAGAACAACAGGACAACAAAATAACCCAGGCAGGAAAAGTGATGGCCAGTATGTCCACAAGGCCGTGAAACCATATCACAAAATATGTTCAGCGCGCGCCAAGTGTTTCGTTTGTAGAGAGCGATATCTTTGTTCGACCAATCCTCATCTCGATGATAGACCCGGTGCATCGCTGGAGAGTGAAGCTTACTAAGATCGAAAGCCGGGAACAGTCGCCATTTTAAAGATCAGCGTGATGAGATATGCACCCGGCTTGATCTGTGCTACTGCCAAATACGAACAAACACGCGCTGCATGTTTTGTGACCTGTTCGAACCCAAGGTGTCTCTGTAGCCTTTGTTCCCCAGACTTTCTTCTCTCCAGGTCTATAAACACGCATCCTTGTTGGCAAGTAGGTGTGCCAATCAGGGGTCCACATGACTGTTGTCCGAACCTCTGCCATGAGGCCACGTGTGTACCAGTCAAGAATGTCTAGTTCGTGTAGGGATTCAGACGCTATATGAGGATCTCCCCGGTCGAAGCTGGTACTGTAACTTAGGCGTAGCCGCTTGGTAAGCCTCGGTCCCAACCACTCCTTAAGTGTTATACCATTGTACCAGGCATCGACCCCCCCCAGCCTTGACCATGTACCATGGCGCTTCTTTGGCAATCAGGTTGGCCACCTCCTGCGTGGAGCTTAGCCAAGTGTCTGTGGAGTTTATGGGCTCTTCGAAAACAAATGGACCCCACGGAGTAAGAACATGAGTTTGCTTTGCAACGCCTTCCCCAATCAAAACGCATGCGCCCCAGCGGATGGCAGTGGATTCCATCTCCTTCATCCTGGAGCCGGGTTTGCTGGCCATGTCGACGCAAACCGTAAGGTGGACGTTCTGCATGACCTTGGCGCTAAGGAAGCTGCAAGAGAGATTCGAGAAGTACCAAGCAGAGGTTAGCTCCAGCAAACTCAACCCTTACAAAGAACCCAGTCACGAAGCTCACTGAACATTGAAGCAACCACAACGTGACGTCACAATTTCCCCCAAAAGGTAGACAGCACGTCCATGCAGACAAATAAATCAACTCGGCCCGATGTTTGAAGCCCCGAGTCGCGGGGTCGAAGGCTCTGGGTGCTCTGAGACATGTGAACTTGGCTCTCAGACGAGACCTTCGAGGGTGAAGAGATGCAACTCATTTCCGGACCCAGGCGGCGAAATTCAATGTCAGAAGGTCTCCAGTGGCACTGGGGCTCCCACTTGAGTTGCCTGCCTTACAAGGAGCCGTTTGAGTATAATCCCTCACGACATGAAAGCTCCCAGATCAGACCCAGCTGGGCAGGGATCATCCTTCGGGTCGAGCCATCCCAAACATTCCCGGTCTACTTCAATTCAATCACCACTCCCGACCTCTGCGGAATGTAGTCAACGCAGTGCAGCAACTTGCCCAAAAGTGGACGAAAGGGTATCAAACATCGATGTATATTTGATCTCTCGGCGCGGAGTTGGAACCCCAACATAAAACGAGGAATGTGCCAACTTCCTTTATTGCAAAATATGTTGCAGGGACCTTGTCCGTAACAACAGTCTCATAGAGCTTCAGCTTTCTCTAATACTTGTGTGGATTGCGACTTTTTCAGAGTCTTGCCGTGACACAGGATTTTAATTGTGACTTAGCTTCCTGTTAGAAGCTGGCAGGAAACAGAACTGTGTCATGAAAGTGCCACCGAGCAAATGGAAGCTGCCAGATATCCAATGGAGTCCATATCGTGGAAGGCCATGAGTCCAACTTTCCCACAACGTTCCGGCTCACACAACGATGTGATGAATACCGTCGATACAAGATCCGGCAGTACCAACGCAATCAACACATCTCAAGCAAATCCTCAGGCCTCAATGATCGGTTGGCAAACGTGCACGAGCTTCACAAACGACGCTCGCAGTTTTGACGATCAAACTCGGGAACCAAGTGTCACGCCATGGCAAGTGAAAGCTGCAACAGAAAATGCTAGGCTCTTTGAGTTGCTTGGTCTGGGCTGTGCTCACAGAGCACAAAAATAGACTTCACTGTTTGATCTTTAAGACTGTCTGACATCCTTCGCATCTCTGCCTCCACACGCTCCCAGATCGAGTGCGATGGGTTCCGAGCAAGGGTGTGTAGCACCAAAGAGCCCCGGGCCATGTCTGGGATGCTATCCTCAAATCTCAGCTGCAGCATCTGAGCCAGGCAGCGGGCCAGCTCGATATTGAACCCCTCCTCGACCACTGCTGCAAGTCCGCATGAAAGGCGGAGCTGAACATGCAACAGCTGCATCAACTGATCAGACTCAAAGTCAGATGGTATAAATGGCGAGGCGTTCTGGGAATCAGGCATCAAGGATAAACAGCCCTCCATTGAAACAACGAGCCTGCGAAACTCGGCCCCATCCAGATTTCGTGGATCCTGAGGAAGCAAGCCTGCTTTTTCCAGCATATGAGTATCTTCTTGCACTGAAGATGGAAACTGACCATCGGCAGAAGCCACACAAACCCCAATGATGTGCAACTTGTCGTTTTTGCGGAAGAACATCGAGCTGGGCGGGTGTGCAGACACTGGGCAAATGGCAGAATGGGCTGCAAATTCGGCTGCCTGCTTGGTCCAAATATGCTTGAACCTTCGCACCTCACCCGGGAAGCTTTGCAGCAACGAGAGATGGAGCATGTTCCAAGTCTCCCCTTCTGCGAGTTGTGCCTCCAGCACTTGCAAAAACAACTTCCGCACACAAAGAGGCACAGCACCGATATATTTCTTGACGTTCTCCTCAAATGCAATGGGATCTGGCGTGGCCATCTTCCAATTCAGGTCCAGCGCCGGGGAGTCCGGGCAAAAGGCGCCGCACTCGAGCGCCCAGAGAGCCTGCATTGCCAAGAGGTGTTCTGGTTCTGCACTGAGACTTGCCTCAACTTCGCCTGGCCGGAGAAAGTCAAGCACCTTCTCCATGGGCTGCACCGGCTTTTGGCTGCCCCAGGCATTTTGCCCCTTGCTAATGATGGAAACCACCCGCTGCCCAAGGTGCGCCGAGAGTTCTTCGAACGTACCATCTGACGGCAACAGGACGTGCATCGTTTCTCCATTCAGACGCCAGCAGTCGAGCGCGACCCTATCCGCCAGGCACTGCGCGCGGGCAAAAATCTGGATCGCCATGGGCGCGAAAGGGCTTGCGAGCCCAAAAGGCAAGGTGTCTTCACAGAGTGTTGGTGCCACACATGCAGATAATGGAAGCCATGGCGTCTGAACAGTTCATGACAGGACCGACCCTTGAAAAAACTTTCCAGCTAGAAAAAACCCGGGGCAGTGCTGCTCTTGGTGCATACAACCTCGTGGGAAAGGGTCATGGGGCCCTCCACAAAGAAAGCAACCTTTCAATGCCAGTGTTTGCTGAACCCGAATGCCAGCCTTCGGATGGACTTCTCTTCCTTGTAATAATTTGGGCTGTGAGGGACGAGAGCATTCTGGTCCCTTCCCCATTCGTTCCAGGGTGCCTTCTTTCTAGAAACGTTCTTTGGAAAGAACGATGGTTGAAAAGAATGGAATCGGAATCAACCCCTAGAAACATGATGACTTCTGCGGAGCGCAGAGAACCAAAAGCATCCAGTCCATGTCTGCATCCCGAGCTGCGGAGTGGTCCACCAGGCCCAGCAGGTGCACGTGATGCGGCTTGGAAAGATCCTGGCAAGCCGGCAAACTCATGAAAGAGAAAAAGCCTTTCAGTGGACAGATGTAGAACACACATTTAGTCTGCATTGTTTTCACAAACAACAGCCCAACAGGATGATTTGTCAAAATTGGCGAGAAAGAAGCGAAGACCAAACAAGTATAGGGGCCGGACCCCGAATCATGCAAGGAGCTATGAAAGCTGCAAGCTGACTCTATTGCTGGCGGAAAATGATTTCTACCTCCAATTGCCCAGCCGAACCTGTTTTGGCTCATGTGCTTCTCTTCCGTTCAAAGCTTGAATGTGCGCGTTCACGCGTTTGGCCTTTGATTCGTAGTGCTCTGGGATTGGTCAGGACTGAAGACTGGCTTTGTTTATCAAAACAGAAAAAACCTGGAATCGTCAAACCACACCATCAAGGAAATGTATTGCAGCTCTTTCTACAAGTAGGAATTCTGGTCAACATTACTTGAATTCCGTTTTGGAATCCCCTGTTCATTGCGCATAAACCAAAAACCAATCAAGCCCCAGAACGAGCAATCATATGTTTGACACCCCCCCACCGGTATGTGCACATTGTCAAAGAAAGCTACTTCCATGGTAGATACATAGATGGATAGACGGACAAATAGATACATAGCTAAACAGATGTCATAGAAAGGGATAAATAAATAAATACATAAAGAAAGAAAGAAATAAAGAAAGACATATAGATGCAAAGCTGGAGTGATAGACAAACAACTAGAGAGATAAAATAGGACAGCTAGATAGATAGATAGATAGATATAGATAGATAGACAGATGGATAGATAGATAGAGATAGATAGATAGATAAATAGATAGATAGATAAATAGATAGACAGATAGATACAATAGAAAGAAATAGACAATAACAGATAGATGGATCAGATAGGATAGGTAGATTAGATAGATAGGTAGATAAGATAAGATAATATGATACGATAACATAAGATGATATAATATTGGATAGATGAGACAGATAGATGAGATAGATAGACGGATAGATGGATAGATAGATAGATAGATAGATAAATAGATAGATAGATAGACAGACAGATAAATAGATAGATGAGATAGATAGATGGATAGATCGATCGATAGATGAACTACGTACATATATAAATATATATCTTATACGTAGATGGATCGATCGATCGATAGATAAGATGGATAGCTATATATATATATATATCGACTATTATATATATATATATGTATATATTATACCGATGGATAGATAGATGGAGAACTAGCTGGACAAATAGATAGATAGATAGATAGATAGATGGATGGATTGATTGATTGATTGATTGACAAATGGCCACAGAAAGAGAACAACGTCTAAACGAGTAAAAAAGACACCGAGAAACACATAAGTAACACACTTAAGTGTTTAAACAAATAAATAACACACAACACAACAGAAAGGAACAAAGCAATACAACGATAACACATGATCATTCTTACATCTGGAAACTTCCGCCCCCTGGCTTCACCGGTTCTACTGGTAACTACACACACAAACGAGAAACTACACTTGCTTGTCATGTTATGTGCTCCACTGGCATTCGGGCTTCGTGCTGTGCTTACTTTGAGCCTGGCTGCACGATTTACATCGAGTCCTCCTCTTGCGTGAGCAGGACCAAGTCTTGGCCGCTATACCTGGACCGTCCGGCCAGGCCACATCGGAGAGCATCCCGCTAGGATGGCGAATTTATGGACCAATCGTGTCACAATGTTTCTTTCACCTGCCAAGTGGTAGCTGCCAGACAAAAATGCCGTGCCCGCTTTGACAAAACCTCAGGATCTGCCAGTACAAACGGACGCTGCGCCCTTCTGCTCTTGGCTCTTGGTCAACTCTGTGCACCATGGTGGTCCGACATCTGCGCTGATGGCAATACTCCGAGCTCTGAAGCCGGGGGCAAACCCTGATGATTCTTAATTTCGCAGTACATTTCCCAAGCCACGGTCAAGTGAAAACCTCCCAACATGGGAATAGGTGAGGAGCGCCCATTTACAGGTCATACCATCGCTTTAGAAGTGAATTGAATTGTGGTGCAAAGTGACCTTCAGTCATGTCTAGAACAGTCTGATGGGATTGAGTCTAAAATCAGCGCTTGATAAAATTGCCAAACTCTTCCAAACAGCCGTGCGTGTTTGGGACTCTACGATTGTGACTCCCGTGCCCACAAGACGTGGAAATACGGGGGTCACAATCCTGTAGACACAACCGACGAGCAACAGGTAGAATTTACTGAAGTCGACTAAGTATTCCGCCAGGAGCCATAAGTGGGCAGCCCGTGTATTTCAATTCAGCCTCTTAGCCTCTGTGCGGGGGGCGGGCAATGCAATTGTTGGTGGATCTCCCACTGGTTAATGGGGCGGACTTAGCCATGTCCGAAAATAAAATAGGTTCAATTCAACTGGACATCAACACAAGTCACCTGCAAGCTGGAGGGATTCAACCTTCTTCCATGCGCTTGCGATTCAGCAATGCTGAAACAACACGTGGAGGAATGCCTGAAGCAGCCAGCTCAGTGAATCTGACTGGGACTCCCAGCCAAATAATGCACCCTTGTATTCTATCCGTTGGCGCTGAGAGACTTTTGATCAAAGGACTTTACATTGTCCTGTTGTTTCCCACATCCACTTCACCCCATATAATATCAAAAACAAAAGCTGCCTTGTCCTGCCGCGAAGTGGGGCTTTCTATTTCAACAACCACCCACGATCCCACCATGAGAGGGAGGCTAGCTTAAAGCAAGAACGCCATCGTTATGCTGAGGCCGGCTAAGGCCAAGCTCCTGTAAAGAAACAGAAGCGCCCCCTCGAATTCCATCTGCAGAAAGGGATCCTCATATTGTGAATCTCCGGTTTTTCAACTACATCCAAACATAGATATAGATCGCTCTGGGGGTAGACATGCTGACCCCGATCAAAACACCTGCCCTTCTCAAAACTGTCATTTTCCCCTCCACTGCCAGCCAACAATATGCTTTAAAGGGGCCCACAAGGTTTGCTTTAACAAACAACCTCCCTAAGCCATGTTGGCAGCGACCAAACTGCCCTCATTAAAGACAACAAACGTGTTAGACCACAAAAGCTATTGCACATACTTCTGCCAATGCTGATTCCCTAAATAAGGGTCGCTTTTCGCGAAATCGAAAATACAGCCGACTGGGCTCTCCAGCCCTGTATTCATTTGGGGCGATCATTACCCGGCACCCGGCTGTGGACCGGTTGGGTTTCTCAAGACAAGCACAGGTTGCCAGGAATCGCAACAGACTGACCTGTTGATGCAGGCACTTGGAGTTGCGGGTTGTGGAAGGACTTCGATTCATATGGGTCATTCTTCCATTGTATGATGCTAGCCTGGATGGCTCAATCGATAAACAAAGTCTCTAGAGGAGATCAGTGCAGGGTACTCACCTGTTCATAGCTCTAGGAGTAACTTCCCCATTCTTTCCAGGGATCCTTCTTTTCAGGAAACCATCAAAAACCCAGGGGAAACAGCCGGTTTTTGAACAGAACGATGGTTGGAAAGAATGGAATCGGAATCAACCCCTAGAATAGCATTGTTGTTCAAGCCCCCGTTTCAGCTGCTCTTCAGGGGACCGAATCGGGTTTGGTTGCAGCAATTTTGGCCTGAGGCTGCTCAAACCAGGACCCTGAATGCCCAAATATGGGTGGCTTAAAATAGGGAAGCCCAAAAAGCGCGGTCGTCCCTTTGGCTTCCGAAAACAGGGTACCCTCAAAAAAAGATATCCCGAACAGCCCAACAAATCCTTCCAGAGAAGTGAATTGAATTGTGGTGCAAAGTGACCTTCAGTCATGTCTAGAACAGTCTGATGGGATTGAGTCTAAAATCAGCGCTTGATAAAATTGCCAAACTCTTCCAAACAGCCGTGCGTGTTTGGGACTCTACGATTGCGACTCCCGTGCCCACAAGAGGTGGAAATACGGGGGTCACAATCCTGTAGACACAACCGACGAGCAACAGGTAGAATTTACTGAAGTCGACTAAGTATTCCGCCAGGAGCCATAAGTGGGCAGCCCGTGTATTTCAATTCAGCCTCTTAGCCTCTGTGCGGGGGGTGGGCAATGCAATTGTTGGTGGATCTCCCACTGGTTAATGGGGCGGACTTAGCCATGTCCGAAAATAAAATAGGTTCCATTCAACTGGACATCAACACAAGTCACCTGCAAGCTGGAGGGATTCAACCTTCTTCCATGCGCTTGCGATTCAGCAATGCTGAAACAACACGTGGAGGAATGCCTGAAGCAGCCAGCTCAGTGAATCTGACTGGGACTCCCAGCCAAATAATGCACCCTTGTATTCTATCCGTTGGCGCTGAGAGACTTTTGATCAAAGGACTTTACATTGTCCTGTTGTTTCCCACATCCACTTCACCCCATATAATATCAAAAACAAAAGCTGCCTTGTCCTGCCGCGAAGTGGGGCTTTCTATTTCAACAACCACCCACGATCCCACCATGAGAGGGAGGCTAGCTTAAAGCAAGAACGCCATCGTTATGCTGAGGCCGGCTAAGGCCAAGCTCCTGTAAAGAAACAGAAGCGCCCCCTCGAATTCCATCTGCAGAAAGGGATCCTCATATTGTGAATCTCCGGTTTTTCAACTACATCCAAACATTAGATATAGATCGCTCTGGGGGTAGACATGCTGACCCCGATCAAAACACCTGCCCTTCTCAAAACTGTCATTTTCCCCTCCACTGCCAGCCAACAATATGCTTTAAAGGGGCCCACAAGGTTTGCTTTAACAAACAACCTCCCTAAGCCATGTTGGCAGCGACCAAACTGCCCTCATTAAAGACAACAACCGTGTTAGACTACAAAAGCTACAAAAGCTATTGCACATACTTCTGCCAATGCTGATTCCCTAAATAGGCTTAAGGGTCGCTTTTCGCGAAATCGAAAATACAGCCGACTGGGCTCTCCAGCCCTGTATTCATTTGGGGCGATCATTACCCGGCACCCGGCTGTGGACCGGTTGGGTTTCTCAAGACAAGCACAGGTTGCCAGGAATCGCAACAGACTGACCTGTTGATGCAGGCACTTGGAGTTGCGGGTTGTGGAAGGACTTCGATTCATATGGGTCATTCTTCCATTGTATGATGCTAGCCTGGATGGCTCAATCGATAAACAAAGTCTCTAGAGGAGATCAGTGCAGGGTACTCACCTGTTCATAGCTCTAGGGGTAACTTCCCCATTCTTTCCAGGGATCCTTCTTTTCAGGAAACCATCAAAAACCCAGGGGAAACAGCCGGTTTTTGAACAGAACGATGGTTGGAAAGAATGGAATCGGAATCAACCCCTAGAATAGCATTGTTGTTCAAGCCCCCGTTTCAGCTGCTCTTCAGGGGACCGAATCGGGTTTGGTTGCAGCAATTTTGGCCTGAGGCTGCTCAAACCAGGACCCTGAATGCCCAAATATGGGTGGCTTAAAATAGGGAAGCCCAAAAAGCGCGGTCGTCCCTTTGGTTTCCGAAAACAGGGTACCCTCAAAAAAAGATATCCCGAACAGCCCAACAAATCCTTCCAGTTGCCATCCCAACCCCTGTTTCATCCAACTTGCCTGTCGGATCTTCAACAAACAGCTCCCAAAAAGGGCTCAAAGGCGCACATGCCTTCCCTCCCTCTCCCCCTTTCTAGTGGCGCACTGAGTCACTGTGCAGGCCTCTTTGGTCCGGAGCAGTTCCAGCTTCACCTCTGGTTCTTTCCCATGGCTGGAAGGGAAGCCCAAAAACCCACGGCCCCATGTTGGGAGAGGACTCATTCTCGTGTCCATCTGGCAGCTATGCCCAATGAGACGTTCTGTCGACCCCCCAAGTAGGAGTTCCAGAAAAAAAAAACGGGCCAGGAGGAGTGACTTTGACAGCACGAAACGGATCTAGCGATTCTATTTACCACTATGGTAGGCAACCAGCGAGAGCCGTCACGTACTAGTAAAACCGTAAAACCCTGGCAACCATGCGGATGGAAACTGTGGTCATCATTGTGCTTCCAATCATAGCAGTTCAGTCTCATTTGAATCCAGCAGATGCGAAAGAGCAACTGCCTGGCTTTCTCATAGGGTAAAGCGCTCAGAGATGTTCCTCACATACTCCTACAACGCGATGACAGCGAACAAGCGCGTCGAGGTTCTTGTCTTGGGATCTATTGGACTTTCAGCTGAATTTGGAGAGCCAAAAACTCCGCAGAATGGAAGCCTGACACTCTCTTTGCTTAAGATGTTCGAACATAGGGAAGCCTCTTGGTGTGTTCCCAAAAAGGTGACACAATGAAAGTGTGGAAAAGTAATTCTCCGTGTCTTTGGTTCGGCCTCTTGGCTGTCATTCGGGCGATTCACCCAAAGGACCTGGCGATACCTGAAGGGAAGGTCAGTCCATCCTTGTCTTGTCCCACTTGAGCAAACACATCCCATTGAAGTGGACTCAACCGTAGATTTGTTTCCTCCCACGTTCTTGTTTTGGAGCCAGCCAGAAGAGCTTCATAATTGCTAGGTGTTGTCATCCGATTGTTTAGGTGGTGACTTACCCTTAAATCCGACCGAATCGGAATCGACGGTTGCGAGACTGGGCTCATTAGGTCAGCGATTCACAGAGTGTTGGGTCTGGTATGCTTGCTACCATTTCCTGCAAATGCTGCACCCCAGGCTGGACAGGCTGCAGGTCTGAAAGCCGCATACAAGCATGGCGATGAGAAGCTCAAATCGATTGATCGGGGAGGCTTGGTGTGTTTCATCAGGTTCAGCTGGGGGTTACAAGCCAAAAAACGGAGCAAGTCAAGCCACCCCACGCCATGCTCAAGCACAAGGCCTCCAACTTCTTGCCTATACTTTGTGCATCAACCATAAGCTCTGCGGTTTAACTTTTTCTAGCCATTACACTTCCAGTTTCCCCTCTTGTCTTTCCTCTTCAGGGTCAGTTGTTTTCGGTCACCAACCATAACTTCCAATTGGCTTCTTGGCTTTCCAGGCATTTCCGAGATGAAAACCACTTTGGTGTTCCCCAAAAGAAACCTGGACGCGAGCACTGGGCAAGATTCCTCGGGGCTTCGGGAGTCCGAGGGGCGAAAGGCTCCTCCAGGCGGAAGGCGTGGAACCGGACCCTCTCCGCCTCTTTGAGCATCTCCGAATCCCTCGGATAATCGGGGCGTCTGGGCCGACGCGTCCGAGCCAACAAGCAAAAATCCAGCCAAGCAAAGTTGAGCAGGTTCGATCGGGTAAGCTTATGTCTACTTATTTTCTCTGAACCCCAACCTTTCCGAGCATTTGGATCCATTTCTGGTTGCAGGAGTGCCATACCACATTCCCTACTATGAACAAGCAAGATAACCAAAATCGTCTTTCAGCCTTCGGCCTTTGAGAAGGTAAGCCCAAGCGCCCAAAGTCTGAGCTGGCTCAAGTGCTGACGGGTCCCGTCTTCCACAAGCCGAAAGGTGCAGGCAAACATCCGACAACCATCGACTCGGTGGCCCGGAATTGGCCAAAGCGTGAAGCCACTTCAGCCATGCTTCGAATTGCTTTAGCTGCGGTTCATCAACATGCTCGTTCAGGCTTCCCGTTGAGGTTCCTGGTGTAAACCAACTTTTGCCCAACCATGGCGGGGCTCTCCAATGAAACTACACTGGCGGGGGGGCGGGGCAGGTCCTCCGCCAACCCAAGCCTGCCCAATTCGATCCCTTGGGGTGGCTGCAATGGTTGACCCCCCCATAATATTGTTTGTTCCCTGAGATAACATGGGAAAGTTGCCGTTGTCCTTGGGCTATTTTGTGGGATATTTGGGTTCCGACCGCATGTCCTCACTAGACCATCCGCCCGGAACTGACGCCAGGCTGCTTGCAGCGCTGAATCTGCGCCTGGCACTCCCGGAAGTAGAGGGGCATGAAGCTTGCGATGTAGTGCACCTCAGCTGCACAAGACTCTAGGAGTACCTTCCCCATTCTTTCCAGGCATCCTTCTTTCTAAAAAACCACCCAAAACCCTGGGGGGTGGTTTTTAGAACGATGGTTGAAAAGAATGGGGGATCAACCCCAAGAAAAAAAACATATGAGTCACAATCAAAACCCGGTATTCAGATGGTCCACCCAAAACCATGTAAAGATTCGACAAGGCGGCACCCATTTTTGGCTGGGATTGTCCCCTTACCGCCCTCCACTTACCCCGGGTTTTGATTGTGACTCATATGACCTTTTGCAGGGGCCGCCAATCTTTGCCTTAGCTCACTTTTGGACCTGGAAGAAGAATTTGCCCGTTTCGCGGCCTGATGCAAAAGGAACTCTTGAGTAGAGCAACAGTATTCGGTGCAAAGGCCAAAACTCCTGAATTCGACAATGATTGACACTTCCCGAAACTGGTTTCCGCAAGCGCCAAGCAAGAGCAAGTGTGATGCACGTGCCTGCAAAAGCAATTATGTAGGCCCGTTATCAAGTGGAACCTTTGCTTTCATGTGCTCAAGGAGCCACCCCAAAACAAATCTACCCACCATGAACTGTTTCTTGAAATACAAACAGGCAAGCTCGAATTAGACCACCATGCTTTAGGGAAACAACCGAAAGGACTGCATGTAGTGCGATTCCCTCTTGGCAAAAGGGGCAGATAGGTTGACAAATGGTGCCCAAAACAGAGGGGCTGATGTGTCACCTGCGACAAACAGCCCCTGGCCTCATCCTCAAATTGGTGCGGCACCTGGCCGTCAGACACTCGGAACGGCCTTTCGCCTGAGCACATCAGTGAACATACCGCCGCGATTCTCCTCCCACCACGCGGGTCCTCACCCTTGACTTTTCATGGCCCTTCACAGTTTTCAACTGGAAGGTCGAGCCGAAGCTTTGCGGCAAGAAATGGCCAATCACGCCCCGCAAGTGTGCAGACCCCAACAGACCAGTCCGGAGTTCTGGGCCAGCAGTGCATGGCTCTAGCGCTAAACCCATTGACATATTGTTTACATGACATGTTTGAACAGCAAACGCAACTATCATCTTGCAACCCAATAGACTTTTGTAAGGACTGAACATACCGAACATGGCTGCCCAGGAGTTGGTAACTAACGAATCAGAGTTTGCTCTGGCTGGAAAGAAGGTTCATCCAGGCTGCGAGATTTAGCATCAACTATCACTGATATAATTACTCCATTTGCGGTGCCCAAAAACAAATGTGACTTTGCTAAAGAGGTGACACTGTTACGTGGCCTGATGCAACCTCGATTTCACTCAGAGCTTCTGTCTTCGCGAGCTTTGGCGGACTTGCCTGAAGCTGGACAAACAGTGCTTCATTGCAAATGGAAGTGCGTCTTACTATGAATTACCCAGGTCATGTTGACACTTGACATGTGCGAATCATATTGCAGCAAAAAGATCTCGGAACAGAAATCAACCTGGCTCGTAAAACGGGGTCCGGAAAGGAAACACGTGTTGCTTTCCGGTGGTTTCTGGTCAAGGAAAATTGAGCAGTATGTGTCAACGTGTGACAGTGACATTTAACCTTTGCCAGACTTGGTCACAAGTCTGAATTTGTCAGTCGCTCTGCCCCTATCATCCGAATATCTGGTGATGGACTCCTTAGCTACATCTCGGATTGAACACTTTTGGACTTGGGAAGGGAATCCCCCTTCTGGCGTGCCATCCCATTCCAGTTCCCCGTGGTCTTAACAATCAGTGCCTTTCAGCCTTTCCGCCCGCTTTTTCTGGGTGCTTTGGCCAGTTGGGTCCTCCACCATGCTTCAGGACAAGGCAAAAGAGTTCAAGGGAGTTATGGGAGCAACCAATTTATAGCGGCCTGTTTTGGGTTGGAGTAACAATCAACAACCCCCTAAACAGTTTCCCTACCAACCCAGGATCTTTCCAGTTTGACAAGTTAGAGGTCCCCCTACCTCAGAAAAAAATGCATGTTGGATGTCTTACCAATCTTATTTCTCTGCACACCGTCACCAGTTGCTCCAAAGGCCGCGGAGTAGATCTTGGCTATCTTTCTGTTAAGGATACCTTCTTTTGGATGGCCTTAAAAAAAGGGGCACCAAAAGGCGCCTTTTTTTAGGGGGGGGTCAGAAAAAAAAGCACAAAAAGGCAATCACCTCTTTTTTTTGGGGGGGGGTGGGGAGCCCCAGAAGAAAAAAGAAGAAAAAAAAGCGCGACACGGATCAATGACGCGCCAAAAACCCCCAGCTTGGGCCTTCTGAAGGCCCTGCTCCTTGGCGTGGTTCGCCAGCGCCTCCCTTGCCAAGCGCTGCGCCTCGGACCGATCCGCCGGATCCGCCGGACAGGCCCCGAAACGGGGTGCTGGATGCGTTGAACCAAAAGGGGGCCCTGCAATTTTCAGAGAAACACATGGTACAACTGGGGAAACCAGACACTGGCTAGTTCAACTTTGGAAAAGAGAGAGAGAGAGAGAGAGAGATCACCAGGGTCCCTTCCATAAGTCACCTTTACAAGCTGATTCTGAATATCCCCTTGTGAACAGGGTGTTTTGTGGATGTATCCCTTCAGGAACCCTAGATCACTTTTTGGGTTAGAAGAAAATCCCAAACGGTTGGTTTACCACAAAAGAATGGTACAGTATCCCCCAATTAGAAAGTCTCTGACGAACAGCTTCTTCAGTTCCATGCTTCCGAGTCTTTGGAGACGCCCCATGGAGATCAGCCCCTGCATCGTTTTGTTCTTTTTTGCTTGGTTGGTTGTTGGTTTCAGGGTGTCCAAACCCAACGTTCAGTCGAACACCCCAGAAACGCTCTGCGCAGAGCATGCACAAAGTTGCGCAGTTCAAACAGATCGCAGTCTACGCTTCCGCCAAAAGCAAACGCCTGGAGCACTTCTGGCAGGAACTTGACCGCCAGCTCACATTCACCGCCGCCTCGCCCGACTAGGAGGTTGGCTAAGATTGGGGGGGGTGCCTAGCAATTGCAGCGACAATGATACTTCCCGAATCAGATGCGTCCGCTGAAATCATATCAACATGATTGTTTGTGCTTGGAAACTGTGAAATTCAACACGCATCACATCCGGAAACCCATCCAAACACGTGCATCAAGACACAGCATAAACGCAACATCCCCTAAACACAAAGCGTTGCCACAGCGGATTCCCAATGCCCAAACCATTGCCAAGTGTAGCAGGCACAAGTTATTGTACCGTACCACCCTGCGTCATGTGCAGCGGTGAAAAGGAGAACTCGCACTGAGGCAGGGGCCAATTTATGTTTTGCTTTCGTCTTGCGCTCTTCCTGCTTCTCCTCCCTCTCCTGCTGTTCACCGAGTACGAGACTGCTTCCCCATTGACGCGGCCATGAGCTCCCCCAAGCAGCCCCCCCAAATTGCCACTTGTCCCGAGGGTTCTGCAATTCTTAATTCTGGGGCCCTGTGAGGGCGGCCGTGAATTCAGAGCTTTGCCGTGGTTTTTTGAACAAGCTAGCAATTTATCAGACGGCTATGCCAAAGGGGGCTTGCCACCAAAGTGTTGTCCATGAAGCGCAAATCCAGTGGCCAAGTCATGCAGATCGCGCGTGCCACTGACTGTTTGATTGGCTTAAACCCATCTGTCCACACGTTTGTAGGGGGTTCTTCACTTTTGTTTGCCACACCCTGCCAATTTATCTGCCAGGCTCATTCATCTGATGCATCGACATTCATACCGAGTTTTGGGTCTGACTCATCAGCGTCAGAACTGGGATGCATGGCTTAAGCCTACAGGTGGACAGGTGCAGAGTGTTTTCACTGCTTCGATCGTCTTCCGGGGGTCAACACCTACGTGGCTCGTGGGCATCGAACCGTCTGACAGTCTCAATCCAAAGTCCTGGGCTCCGGGAATTGAATAGGCTTGGGCAAAATATGGAATATCCTCCATTCCTTCTGGATTCTTTCGCACCCATCCCCTCACACAACCGCCCCTTGGAAAAACAAAAAAAATCGCCTCCGGAGGCAGCTGCTCGAGACGCCTCGGGCAGCTCGGGGTCTGAGGGTCTCACTAAAGGACCCTACGGACAGGCCACTGCAAATGGAGCAAAATCCCTCCTAGGAACATGACAAAAAGCAAGGGAGCATGCGTAGCAAATAGAGGAAGGATGGGGAAGGGTAAGGAGGTGAAAAAGTCGCTTTGCTATTGGGCAACTAAAAAGCACCACAGAAAGGTCCCGGGAGGACCCAACAGTGAGGCAATGACCTTGTTCGGGGCCAATAACGCCAACGGCCTCGACTGAATCGAACATGCTCATGATGCAATTCCAGCTCCCAAGTTGTTCCCTATATGTGTGTGTGTTCTTTTCCTCACCTTTGATGAAACGCCTTGGGACAATTGTGTGTGTGTGTGTTCTTTTCCTCACCTTTGATGAAACGCCTTGGGACAATGAATCGGAGGTGCCCAAAAACCGAATCAAAAGTCAACAATAGCAGTCTTGAGGTTGCGAATGGTTGCCAGTGTCGCCTGCCATGCAGTTTCAAAGCCAGCTTGGTTAAACATCTGACAAACACTTCTGGATATTGCATATTGCCAGCTGGGGCTTGCACGGTCCCAGCAAATGGCATGCATTCTATTGGCCCACGGACTCGGGCTAATATGTCACAAAAGGACACTGTTTGGGATGAAGGCCATATGTTGCGTCACCTTTCAAGGGGTTGAAAACGTTCTGACAACGAATTTAGATCTGATTTCCCGCTGTTCAACGCAGCCAGAACATAGCAGCGTCCACGGCTCCACCTTGGCCTGTAGCTTCCCCTTGCACCCGTATGTCTGTTCTCCGCTTGAATCGCCAAACCACTAGGCCACTTTTAGCCAAAAATGGCCAGGCTCAAGATAACCCACCCAAGATGTCATGTCAAGCATGGTCACTCCCAGCCAAAATGTCATCAGTCAAATGTCGGGCGCCCAGGAGTTTAGCCTATGGTCCACATCCTGGCAGGTAATTACCACTCCCATCAGCTCTCTGTGTTTGCACGACTTGCTCTTCACGACACACGTCAGCGCAAAAAAAACAACTCGACATCTAGTTTGCGCCCAAGGAATGATATGCAGCTTGGGTGCTTCTTCTCCATTTCCTTAGCGAGCCACTCGTGCGAGAGAGCGACTGAGGGCGGTTAAAGCTTCAGAAACAAATGACTTGTGGTTTCCAAAAGATAGCTAAATGAACGCGAAGCACGGTCACCCAAATATTTCTCCTTTTTATCTGAACGATCCACAGCCGCCGTTGGTGACTGCAGGGTTCCAAGTGGGATGTCCGCGGTCCGCAGTTGGGCTTGGATATGAGGCCTATCCGAATCTAAATCCGATGCAAATATTTTTCCCTGTCGACATCCAATGCCCGCAACTGCATTGTGCCTGCATCTTAGCCACGCTTTGTCAACTGCAATTCCTCCACGAGGGCAACTCAAGCTTACCCGCCGAGCGGCGACTTCCTTCTTCTTCCTCTGCTGCTGCAACTGGGCGGAGGGGTGCGAAATCGCCAAAGCCAGCTGTTTCCATGGACAGAATCAGCCCTCTTTTGGCGGGCTTTACTCGTCACCTTTTGGTGCGGCGATTGGGAGAAAATGTGAACCTGTGCCAAATAGCCCATGCGGGCCACAGCCATTGCCTCTTTTGGATCCCCAGCAAAAAACTGTTTTGACCCGTGGAGATGCACAACTGGGCGCCCCCCCCCCATTCCTGGGCTGCGTGGAATGGGTGGGCAGCCCGCCAATCCCCACAGAGCACCATCAAAGACCCGACAATCGAAAGCGAAAACCCTGATGCGCAGAACAGAACAAATGACCCGTTCCAGAAACCACAAACAGAGGGCTAACCATCTAACCGCTGGTTCCCCTGTTGCCCCTTTAAACATCCACCCAAAGGAAACTCATTTCGAGTAGGCCATTCAGGTGATGGTTTGACTCACAACCCAAGTTCCCTCCCTGGCCGGCGTGAGGAGCTCAGTGTCAAGGATCAGCTCCTAGCTTGGCCAAACGGACCCGCCCCGTTGCAACAGTGACAACTCGTTGCAATCGAAAAAAGAAATCAGAAAGGCAGAAGGGCAAACATCTTCTCCAAGTCTGGCAACCATGGGGAAACCCAGTCAGGGAACACCAGTCAGTTGGTGTGCAACCATGGGAAACCAAACCGGCTCGTTATTCAAGATCAAACGAACAAAGATCCACGACGGCGAGGGTTTGTGAACACAAATAGCCAGGGATGCAGACCGGCTGAACCCTTTCATGGTAGCGCAAGGCATTCTGGGGCACGCTCCTTTTCACTGCAAACCCACAGGCACTCCCCTCCCACTTGTTTTTCACGCATGGTCGACACATGGGCAGCTGAGGGCAGCAGGTCCAACCCACTGCTCTCAGCAGCCCCCACACCCAGCCAAAAGTGGCGACCATGCGGGATGCTCCACACCCACAACGCCCACTCACGTGGAAGCATCACTGCAACACCAAGGCTCCTCAAGCAAGGCTGCCAAATCCAAGCTTCGCTGGTTGCACGCGAGGAAGCCGGGCGGCGCCGGGCCCCTGCTCAGTTGGTCAGCCCAAAGGTTGCGCTCTCCAGCAACGTGGGACAACTGAAGCATCACCCCAAACTTGGAACAGTAATACCCAAGCGCCTGCAGCACTGAGTCCAAAGGCTGGGACAGCGAAAGCATCTTGCACGCAGCGGCCGTAGTACCCTGGTTGTCGCAAAGCTGCGACATGACCACTGTGGCACGGCCAGGCGCCAACTGCGCATCTTTTGCGCGCAAAGCCAGGAGCACCACCTGCGCCAAGCATTCCAGCGCTGCAATACACCTTTGCAGGCGGCCGGACTCCTTTGCCCGAAGCCAAGATCACCGGCACGTGGACCAGGTATTCGTAGAACTTGTCGCGGAAGAAGCCCTTGCCCAGCTTGGTCAGCCGGTGCTCTCCGCCCTGCAAGGAGCGCACGAGCTTCTTCCGCCCGTTGCGCAGCAGGATGTAGTCGTTCGGCCCCTCGCGGATGAGGGGCTGGTTGCTGGGAGGCCGCAGGCCCAGGTGAGAGTAGTAGTGCTGGCCCGCCCGGGTCAGCTGCCCGTCCGCGCGCGAGGCAAGGACGCTGCGTCAAGCTGAAATTGGAACCACCGGGCATGCTCCGCCCGCAACTCGCAGCCAGGCGGCATCCACCAGCCGCCAACGCCAGCTCTGTCCGCTGTCGCAAGCGCATCAGCTGCACACAAACGGCAGCCTTCGTCCGCCCGCAGTTGTAACAGCAACGGGGCCTGAACCTGCACCTGCACCACCCTAAGAAACAACCGGGCCACACGCGCGCTCTCCGCATCGGCAGCCACCAGCTTGCTGCTGAAACTGTAAAACACACAGCTGATATGCCCGTTACGCACTCGCGGGGCCATTAAACCCGGCGCCCGTAGATCAGAGATAACCGAGTTTGCAACCGAGTGCAACCGCCAACCAGCGCGCACATCGCACTGCCGCACATCCTCAGACACCCCCAAGTCTGCGCTCAATCCCAACACCACTGCTTGAAAGTGCTCGATGGACAGCAAACGCGGCACAGCTGCTGGCTTCCGACTCAAGCGATAGAAGCAGCTGAACCAAGGCCGGAGCCAAAAGGCCCCAGCAGTGAACCAAATAAGCAAGCCAATCAAGCTCTCGACCTCCCGTCGCGACACCTTGGCGCCCTGTTGACACAATTGAAGCAAGGCACGTTGGAGCTTAGCAGCCTTCTCGGCCGGCAGAGACACCGCCCCAGAGCTAAAGTTGAACTTCCAGCCAATCCAAACCAGCTCCTGCCCCAGCTCCAGCTTTCGCCAAGACATCGGCACGCCCAGCGCAGTCAAAAACATGATAGCTGACGCAGCCACCAGCGGCGCAGCCTCGGAAGGCAACAAGGCGAGGCCGTCATCGACATACAGCCACAGGCCGTGTCTGAGCCAGATGAACAAGTGCAGCATGCGCACCAGCCACGCGCCAACGCGGGCCCACCAGTAGGCGCTCCATCGCGCGCCGAAGTAACAACTCCGGTACGCGTGCCGGACTCCGTCCAGCACGAAGCAGCTGAGCCCTTGCTCGCCCTCCTTGACCAAATTTGCTTGTGAGCGCCAGCAACATCAAAAGACAAAGCAACCCAACTCTTTCCTGCCGCCTCAGGCAATGAAAGAAACCGCTGGACACCGCTCAACCCAGGCAGCCGCACACGCTCCCCAATGCGCGCAGCCGGGTTTGCTCCGCTGATGGAACCATCCCCTATCAGCCGCGGCTTCTTGCCCGGCGCACGCACCACACCAAGCTTCCCCGAAGCCACCAAGCTGCCCCATCTGCTCCGCGCCTCTTCTTCGCCCCCTTGTAAAATAAAAGCGTGCCCAGCTGCCACATCTTCTTGAATGAGCGTGCGCGTCAAGGCAACATCATCCAAGCCACTCTGCCACGGTTGTAAATGGACAAGCAAATCCAAACACTCAGGCTCGTCCTCCACGCATGCTTCCTCCCATATCCCAGACGGCTCAATGGGCCTTACCACACCTGTCGGGACAACTTCACTCTAAAATTTCGGGCAGATCCTGATCAGGGTCCTTCACAACCGCGCTCAGGCCTCGCCATAAATGAAGCAGAAAGGGCTGGTGCTCTCGCGCAGCAAGCGTGCAGGCGAAACCCCGCGCTGTGGCGAAATCCGCAACGCAAGATTGCAACGAGCGGACTTCCTCAGCTGTGAACAAAGCCTCAGCACACCTGGCGCTCACATGCTGCAGCAATCTGGGAATCACGTTCCACGCTTTCGCCCGAGACATGAAGCTGCGGCGCAGTTCTCTCAACCCATCAGCGCTTGACTGCGGCGCCAGCCACGCCGCAGTGGAGCAAACCCCGCCCCCGTCTGGAATGGGAACACATAAGCCCGCCCTGTCACGCCCCGCGCAAGCCGGTGGGGATGCAGGCGTTGCAGCACACGCTTGCTCTACCAGCTTCGGATAACAGAGGTCACCAGGACATGTTCCTTTGCCGGCACCAGCATGTAACTGCGCAGCCTCCTCCACAGACCCGACCACGGCTGCGGCCGCACTCTCCGGCAAAACGGCACCGTCGCCATCTAGTCAATGCAACTTGTGGCGCTGCCGCTTTTCGCGCCCCCGGCTGATCTTGCCCTTTTCCGGACACTCTGCGGCATGGTGATCAGGAGAACTGCACAATGCGCAACGGTGCCCAAACTTGCAATCCTTCCGTGTGCGCTTGCCCTTGCGCCACATGAAGCATTCCCCGTTGGCATCATCCTCATCGTCTGGCTTGCGCCCCTTGCGCTTCCGCGGCTCCTTGTCGCCAGACAGCTTTGGCAGCTTTGGGCGAGGCATAAGCAAGTGACGCAACATGTCCCTGTCAACAGCCACCGTGCTCAGGGCGTCATCCAAAGATGACCCTGCGTAGCACAATCCGAAGACCTCGCGCAACGCCAACTGGTCCGCTTCCTCCGCCTCTACTGCTGTCAAAAAGCGGTAATGCTCGCCACAGTCCCGGGCATAGTACTCCATGAACCGAGTGTTGTACAGCGCCCAACTGCCCAGATGACACGCGCCCACCATTGCATAAGTGTGCGCCCTTACTTGCAGCAGCGCTTGAACATGAAAAGGCGCCGAAGACAACTCCCGATCAAGCTGCTCCTCAAAGAAACCAGCGCCGCAAGCAAGGGCCTCCATGAACGCGTCGTGGGGCTCAGCTTTCCTGCGCCCCTTTACAGCGGTTGCGGCTTGCTCGCTTAAGAGCTTCTTCCATGGGATCCAATCCCATGCCTTGCTGTCATGCTGCGCCTTCACCCGGTTGAGCAAAGGCACCGAGGGCAGGGACGCGAGCGTCACCAAGGTCTCAGAGCACTTCTTCCCCAACGCCTTTCGCAATGAGTCCCGATCAGCCACCGTGAGCACCTTGCTCTGCGCCGTCAGCGACCCCGCGTTGACACCAGCAAGACTGGGCACCGCCAGCGCCAAGCTCGTCACCGGGCCTGCTGGCAGAGGCGCTTTTGCCTTCATCCACAGCGCCCGAAGCTTCCCCACCAAGGAGTGGAAGGCCCAGGTGTCAGCCGACACACCAGCGGGCTTCAAAACTTCAAGCATGAAATGCTTAGCGAAGGCCTGATAGGTTGCCTCATCCGGAAACTGGAACGCTTCCTGCGTCTCGTATCCCAGGGATAGCAACTTCTCCCGAGCATCCTCCGGCACAAGCGCTGCCTCCAAAACGCCTTCCCAAGTAGCAGCCATTGCGCCAACAAAAGAAACAAGCCAGGAAACAAGCCGTGAACTACCACGAACCCGCACACTGCGCTGAGACTGACCAGCAATGTGAAGCAGCCCATTTAACGGGGTCTGACAACCCTGGGCGCCATTGCAACTCACATCAAGCCCATTTGACGGGGCATGTAACCCTGGGCCACCTGCGCACCGAAAGCGCCGTGCCCATTTAACGGGGTCAGACTACCCTGGGCGCAATTGCAACTCACACCAAGCCCATTTGACGGGGTTACATGGAACCCTGGGCCAGGGTCAGACTACCCTGGGCGCAAATGCAACTCACACCAAGCCCATTTGACAGGGTTACATGGAACCTTGGGCGTTTTGCGACCGCAGCACACAGCCGACACAGTCCAGGCGCCACGCCTACGCCCGCCCAAAACTCAGGGCGCCTGGGCCACCATCAACCAGTAACCTCGCCGCGGCTTTTGTGCGCGCAACCAGCATGGCCACAAGGCTGGAAGCCGTCGACACCCGGGTCTTGCACGCGAAGCTCGTACCAATCCGAAAGCTTCGCCGCAGGTCTGCACGCGAGGCCCCAAGCCTTGCCGCTAGCATCCATGACGCCGCCAAAGTCTGCTGCCACTGCGTTGTGACACCAGCCCGATCGCACATTGAGCAGCCAAGGCCCATCCCCAACGACCCCCAGAGCATCAGCACACTCATTCTCGTCACTTGAGGCATTTGCTTCACTTACGCAAATCTCTACT